TAAGAGCATGTTCTTCCACTCATTTAAAGAAATAAATGAATCACTAAAATTTACCAATGCTTTCAGAAGTTATGCATGTGTTACAAACGTAGCCCATTTTTAATAGCTGTCCTTGAATGTCATTGGAAGCTATTGAGTTAATAGTGAGAATCATATTACAGACAAACTTTAAAATGCCAACAAGACTTTAAAGGAAACATGCAGTGGAAATTCAGCCCATCTTGTTCCCTTACACATTATTATGTGTCGCAACAATACATACAGGATCGTAATACTTGTTTTCGTTGGAAGTGACAAGAGAGTGGTAGTTTTTCAATTGGTAGCAAATCCTTTCATCAAAACAATCGATGTAATGGGCGCTATTTTGCTTTTGACGCACAAGGAACTCCTTGTCAAAAGTGCATATGAACAGTACAAACATAACTCCTTCAAAGTTACCCACAAAAAAAGCTTCGAAAAAAAAACTAGTGGCGACTGCTAGTGTCCAAACAAGCTGTTTAACATGATAAACAAGTAAAAAGTGGAACTTACTGCAAGAAAATAGAAACAAGTGTGATATATATTTGTACTCAAAGCTGTAGAGACACTTCTGTTCTGCTTTGAATGACATCACGCTTTGGCTCATGAATATGGAAAGTTTCAATAGCATAAAAATTGAAATGTTGAAATTTCTCCCTTGTAGTAACAAAAGAAGATTGAAAGTCATAGTTACATGGCAAGAAAGCTGTTTTAAATCTATTTAAGTCATACAAATCCTTTTGCAGGTTCCCTTTAATAATTGAACTCAAGACAGAAACCACTGTCAGAATGTGTGCTTTCAATATATAAGAAACAAGTTAGCTCTATTTTTTTTAAATATTGATAGTGATTTTTGTATCCTTTCCCATGCTCTTGTTCATTCAGTGGAGGTGGGAAAATCCACGTTTCATTGTACTCAATGGGTGTTCAGTTTGCATCACGTGATGAGTGGTAAACAAGTTTGTGATCGTTTTATTGAAATAGACATAACTTCGGATTAGACTGTGCAATTTAGGTGAAATGTTCACACTTAAAATCCCATAAGATGTACTTCGTCCCATAAAAAACAAAGGGCGGCAGTCGCTTCCCAAAAGTGGAGGACATACCTATTACGGCATGGAGCGGGCCCCGTAATTTTTTGGATTCTAGATGCTTAATCTGTGGTGCGATCCGAGGCAATTTCTGAGCACTCAAACCACTTTTGTGAGCAAAAGATCATCTTATAACATCATTTTTTGAGTTTGGAGTCATTGAATCAGCTTCTATAGAATCATTATGTAGGCTACAATTTTTATTCGGGGATAGAAAAGGTGTGTGTGGGGGGGGGGGGGGGCAAGGATATGATATCCGCCACTTAAAAAAAAAAAGTGGGGGGAGGACTTGTCCCCCACCGATTGACGCCCATGAAAATGGAACGCGCCAAATATTTTGAACACATTTTTCAAATTCGGTCACTTTCTTTTTTAACTCATCCTATAGTTGGTTCAACCGGTCACGGAAGATGAACCGGCACGTCAAATCAGTTCGTAGATCCAAAATACATGCCAAGAGTGCCGCCATTGTGACAATCGAGATGATCCACGCAAGTTGTGGTGTGCTTGCGGGACGTCTGGAGGTCCCGCAAATTTACGGGTGGTTTACGGGCACACACAGATTTAAGGGGGCTTCGTGAATAACCCGCAAGTGCTTAAGTGAGGGTTGCGGGGAAGTTGCGCGCCCGCAAGCATTTACGGGTGCTTTGTGAATAAGGACCCTGACCCCCAAAAAAATGACCCGAGTGCCCTTGATTTTCTGCTTCGTTGCAAATTGGAACAGAATTAACAAAATTAAAATAATAAGCCTAATATCCACCTTTGGTGATTTTGTTTTCAGTGTCAGATTCTGTTGGGTACTTGTAAATAACACCAAGTTGGACTCTGTTGGATCCAGCAAGAAACAGAAAAATAAGGCACAGTTAGATTCTGTTGGATTGAGCATGCCAGTCATTATATATGTTCAGGTACCCAACAACTTGACAGGCTGGATTATGTTGAACTGTGTTGGGTCCTAGCTCTGTTGTTGGATTGAGCAGGGTAGTCCTGGGGAACTACATGTACATGTACCAGGGGGGGTAGGGTTTTTTATCCTTGTGTGTGGAAGTCTCGTTTTGTTACCACTGTAAGGGGGTACTTGTGCATGCGGCGCATTTGCAATTTGATCACTACAAACTTCTCCATTGATCCCTCAACAGATTGCTTCCCGACCGGAAATGTGCAGTGAAGGAATAGGCACTTGTACATTTGCTGCATTGTGGGATAGCTCGGAGTGTGTTAGTTTTGTTAACTGAGGATACCATATGCCTTGACTGACATTGCTAGATATGGTGGGTCAGTGTGTCATGGGGGTTCTGGCAGTTGGCGACCAGCCTACTATGGGAGAGGAAGTGCGCATGGAATTTTTGACTGTTTGTGACAGTTCTATCAGTAGGAGTGTTTGGGAATTAATGCATCAAACATACCAAATGTATTTTAAATGGGTAACATTTTGATCTTTTTGGATTTGCATTGTAGATTGTAAAACACAAGTGTTAGGACCACCATGCACTGAGCACATAGCGTAATCTGGGGTCTTGTTAAAATCAAACAACCATGTGCATGATTATGAACATGTATTTTGTACCTTTGTACTGTGTAAAGTTCTTTGTCATTAATAAATCCTTGTGGAAAAAGTTAAGGATCATTGAAATGACATCGCTGTTTGCTAGTTTGCCTTTTTAGTCATTGTTTGCTTTAGTTAAGTACAAACTCCATTAGGGTCCCTTGAAGCAGGTGAGTTTGAACTTAAACCACACACAGCGCAGATAAGAGATAACACCTTCATAATTGCTGCTGGCCCATAATGATTACCGGTCTGGTTCCCTGAGGCAGCATGGTTAACACTTCTCAATGTGTCAACGTGTAGGCACCAGTTTGTTTTGTGTTCAGTACAATGTACATTAACTACAGCACTGAGCTCCATGGTCAAATATTGTATTTTATTATTACATGTATGAGGGTTATCAGAGGGTTATGAAAAACTTACACATGTACTTTGTCCCAAATATTTTCAAATAATGCAGTTCAAGTCACTGCTTTGTTGTCCCCTCCAATGCAAACATGCATTCTGTGCCAAGTTGTCTTTTCAGTCAAAATCAATCAAGTGACTTTTCAACATTTCAGGGCTCCCACCTACATGTACTGTACATACAAGCAGGATTGACTGGCTTTGACTGTTTATGTAATTTGATACAGCTGTGCTTTGACTGTAGGTGATTGCTAAGACAGCTTGTGTCACCAGTTCCTGCTTTATGACTGAATTTGACTAGTCAGAGTGCTTGCTTGAAATATGATCTGACTGTAGTTGCTCACATACAGTGTATGTATATTTTGTACATGCACCCGTGAATTTACACAAGACATTTCTTTATCACAGTTTGCCCCAAATTGCACACGTTTAGATCCGTGTTGGTCCCTGGAGCTTTGAAGATTCTTTTGATAAGCCTCTGGATTGCATGGAAAATTCCAGTAAATTCCAGTTATGATTTGACTGCCAAAACTCTTACTGTACATTGATGATCAGACTTAGGCATAGAGCTATAATCACATGCAACAGATCATGTACGCCCGTATAGGCGGCAGGTACATGAAGGTGCATGCATCTCCCAGGAGAATTGTGATTAACACTATGTACACGAATGTACATGTACATGTATGGAAGAACCATTATAGCTTGCTGGTTAATAAGTCTTTGGAATGAGAGATGTGTGTACCATGTGTGGAGACATACATGAGATGATGAGACTGGCACACATCAATAACATGGAGTATGGATACATGAAAGATGTTGATAAAGGTCATGCTCAGCCTTGCAAGTGAATAGCGAAACTAAATGTATGCATCACAAGCCAAGATGCCACTTGGCTGAAATGTCACAAGCATTAACCTTTTCAATTTAAACGGCACATTAAGCATTTCGCTTTGTCCCATTTTGACCATGTTTTACCCGCCTCAGTTTTCTAGATGCTCCCCAGAAATCATCCCATGTAACTACCTCCAGACAAGGTTGTACAAACTAAAATAACATGTTTCATGAATGACCCCCCCCCCCCCACCCGCCCTCCATTGGGACAGCCCTGCCCTATCTGCTACCATTTTCTGGGAAGTAAGATTTAGGATGTACCTGTTCAATGGTGCAAAAGTGTAATTAAATCATGTAGGAGTGTACCGTAACCCTCCTATTGTCCAGGTATATGTGATGCATCACAGACACATCACAAGGACATCGCAAGGACATTACAAGTCCTGTCAAAAGTAAATTGTAAATTAGGAGTCAGTGCACAAGTCCAGTTACAAATAACAGGAAATGAACACTTCTAACATGTCTAAGGCCAAAAAAAATAATAGTTCTGCTTCCGGTTTCCCTACCTGCCCTATTCAGACAGCCCCTACCCTAATTTTTTTATGGGAAAAATGAGAAAAAACACCCAAAACCATCAATTTCTACCTTTTACTGTTGACTACCGTACATGCAGACGCCCCCATATGATCGTACACAAAAAAATTGGCAAAATTTTTTTCGTACCTACCTACCCTGTTTTCGAATGCCATGTTATCGGAAGCAGAACTTTTTTTTTTTTTTTTGGCCTAAATAAAGCCTTCTGTTACATTTCATTTGAATAACTTATGAGTTGAGTTGGGACTGGATGACTCGTACAATGTAATTGACTCGTGACAACTTGTGGTCATTCAGAAGTACCTTGACTGCAATGCGTCAAAACCCTTCAGTGTTTTACAAGGTCCACACTGGGATTCATAGAAATGCAAAATGTTGAAGTTTTTTTACCCAACTACAAGGATTAAAACAATAGATTTATAATACAGAGTAATGCAATATTCTGCCCCTTTGTGAAGACATCTTCTCTAACGTCTTTTGTTTTGTCTTTTTTATTTCTCTCAACCCCGCAGCCAACCGCCACAGCCTACAACCTCACCAAGGGCAACATCAACAAGATGGCGGAAAGTGCCTGGCGCATGTTTTTCTACATTACCTCCTGGTCCTACGTCGCCTATGTGGTCTTTCAATCAGAATTTGACATCTTCGGCGACCCACCGTCTGTTTTCAAAGGTGAAAAAAAATCAACCTGGACGAAGGTTTTGTTGTTTTGAGGGGGTAATGACCAGTGGCAGGTCACATCTGATCTCACAAAAAGATTTCATATATCGGTACATGTACATGTACATTTGTGGTGAGACTAAATAAGATTTTTTTGCAAAAGTTTGTTTACAAAAATTAATTACAGTGTTCCTTACCCTTTTTGAACAAACACAAGATTCCCAGCCCTTCTGGAAATCTGGGAAAACTTTGAAAATGTGTTTCCATTTTTCCAGTCAGGGAAAACTCAAGGAACTTAGAAGGAAAAAAAAAACACCAAAAATCTGGGAAAGCTCAGGGAATTTGAAAGTGACCCAGAAGGAAAAGTTTTCACCAGTTTGGTGTATGTGCGTCTTGTGTCATGTGTCCAGGTTGTGTTCATTGACCGACTCGCTATGGTAGCCTTTAAGGTGTTTATTAAGTGTGGATAATTATTACACACCTCTCCAGACAATGACAAATTGCTGCGCTACACCACCTCTTGACTTTCAAGCAACCTCATTAATTTAAAGTGAAAATATTTATCATAGAATTTTGGAAATTTCTCGGGAAATATAAAACTCAGGGACTATGTTTTCATAAAGTTACTGGCGTGAATCCGTGTTGGTTGGTGGGGGGGGGGGGGGGTGGAGGGATGGGGGAGGATGGAAGGATAGGGAAGACCATACCGTAAAATCCTAAAAGTAGCCGGCCGTGCAAATTCGAAAGGGGGGGGGGGGGACTGGACACCACGTGACACTAGGAGGCACTGTTCATGATATACGTTTATACGTACGTCCCTTAACAGCAGTGTTCTGAAAGCTTTGGTACTGTTTTCCATTTTTCAAAACAATTTAATAAATTTGGACCATTAAAAAGTTACAAGGTAACTTCAAAATTGGCATTTTTTTGTTTCTCACCACAATCTGGAAGAAGGGATGATCCAATGGCCCATTCCCCCCCCCCTCAAAAAGTGGGGCATATGTATATCGTCCCCATCCCCCCAGGATTTATGCCCATAGATGCATAAAGTACTTGGAACCCTGAATATTTTGGGGGGTTTTGTGTGTGTGTGTGTGTGTGTCATCCATCCTATTCCTTTTTCTTTTATCAGGATGGGCACCAGGCATGGTGGTCCCACCCCTCATCTACTGGGCCTATGCAATCCAGTGCAGCTTCTATCTACACTGTTTCTTTGCCACCATTTTCCTGGACGTCTGGCGATCGGACTCGATTATGCTCATCGTTCACCATGTACTCACCCTCAGCCTCATAAGTTTCTCATACGCATCCAGGTTGGTTACAATTTTCTTTTTTGTTCCCTGACTGAGACCCATTTATCAAAATTCAGCTTCCAAATCAATCTCAATCTCAAAGATATGGGTCCTTAAAGTCAGCGATGTATTCTATGGGCCAGTCAGTTTCCCCTTTTTTGGCAAAGTTCATTGAACTTTGTACTACCGTAACACCTCAAGGGAAAGCAATTGAATTTTTGCTTTCGACCTCATCTATAGAACTACTAACAGAACCTTTCCACTTAAGTTTTAACAAAATCTGTGAGATACGGTGCTATGGCCCATTGAAATGGCATGGAATGACCCAAAGTTCATTTTAATTGTAAAAAAGTAGAGGTGTTCTGATGACACTATTAATTTGAAGCTCAGTACGATAATTACAGAATGTATACAGGAATATCAGTACCCCAAAAAACACCATGAACATGATGAAGTTGGTCTGGATCATGCAGGATGGTGTGTTATTGCCCATTCATAAATACCTAAGACAGTTTACGCATTCCTATTGGTCGAGAGCCCGTCACGTGGCCGGTCGTAAACGGATGATAAAGACATGGCTAGCTGGTCTTAAACACTTTTCCAGTGTCACAATAAAATGTGGACTCCTAAAAATCCAGTGCCTCTTATCGTTTCATTGGTTGAACGTTCACAATCCTCACGTAGGCATGCCCAACACTACCAGGGAGTCAGAATTTTATAGTTCTAAATTCAAAACGCAACGCACCAGGTGCGTTCTGCGCGACATCGCGCAGAACATGATACGCGCGCGTCAATCTCCATAAAAGGGGTTGTTTACATCTTACTCGCCAGCTGAACACTCCATTATTTTGCAAGAGGGATGTTTCAAAAAGCATAAAGTGAATTTGTTGAACAAAATCGGGATGTTTTGAACGAATTATATGATTTTTTTTTACCAAAAAGGTATTTATTAATGGGAATAAATATGTGCTCCGTCGGTATTTATCACTCTGTTTAAGACCACTTAGAGTGTGGGTGGTGATAATTACCCTCGCCTCCGGCTCGGGTAATTATCAGCACCCAGACTCTAAGTGGTCTTAAACAGAGTGGTAAAAACCTCCAAAGCACACATTTATTCCCTTATTACAGTGCCGTTGATTAAATAACATGTAGTGTTCCATTCATGCTCTGCTGGATAAGAAACAGTTTGCATACAACACTAATCTACAAGCCATTGTTAAATTTCTGCATACAGTAGTTGAGTGTCGTAAAAATACTATAAATTTATTTATATGTTATATTAAAAAAAAGTGCATTTGGAAACCTCTGTTTAACTTGCGTCTTAGAAATGAAAAATAAAAACAACATGGCAATGAATGGCATAGAAGAGCAGAAACATAATGTCAGTGTTGAGCCAGATGGTGAACAGTTTTACATGTACACCGTATATTCTAATCCACATCAAAGCATGATCCTAGATTAGCCACTTGTACATGTATAACATGTCCTGTGGTCCGCTATGTGTTTTTCCTACTTACTTAGTACATGTACAGTTGTATGTTTATATTTAACCACATTACATTTATGAATCAATATGGACAATCATGCTGTATAGTACGGGAATGTGTACATGTTATCCACATGTAGTAAGTGCGTTGGCACATAACCACACTATTGTTCTGTTCAAAATCTTAAACTTGCTCGACTCATTCCTGGTTGCACAAAGTTTCAATATTAATCTGGAAATTTCTGACTCTCAATCTGCAGGTATCATAACGTGGGCATGTTGGTCCTTTTCTGTCACGATTTCTGCGATATCTGTCTGGAGTTCTCCAAGATCAACATTTACTTCAAGATCAGAGGCGACGGTTCGTTTCACAGAATCCACGATTTTGGCGCCAACGTTGGCTTTGTGTTCTTCTCATCGTCTTGGTAAGGGATTTTGCTTCAGGTTAGGTCTCAGTCTTGGGTTCAGACGCTGTTGTTGTATATTGAATTCACAATAACCTGAGAGGGCGCTATCACAATGAATCAGTGTCACCCACGAACTGCTTTCACAGCAACATCTCAGGAATCTTCTAAAATTTCCCCCTGAAAACTGGGGGAAACTAGTGCACATTTGCGCTTCTTCTGCAGTTACAAACAGTCCATTTTCTGCTACGAAGTTGCACAAAAGTCTGGTAGCATCGTGTATGCTACCATGGCTACTGGCTGAAATTTCAGAGTTTGGTTCGGAGCTGATATGCAAGGTGTTGAATGCGCGCTGCATATATTAGGCAAAACGGGTGCACCCGCATGGCACGACTGCTGCAAAATTCCCTTGATGTTGTTGTGGTAGCGGTTTGTGGGTGACCGCGGTTCAATTTGATAATGCCCTCTTTTGGCGGGTGATTGCGTGTCCAACAAATACAGCAGCAACATCTTGACCAACAAGTAGTTAGGTCTCAGTCAGAGTTGTTTCACATAGCTTTTTTAAGCCAGTTCACGCCGGGAGTTTTTTGACAAGAACGGAACGAGGCGCGGGATTACTTTTCACTCAACCTCAATGCCAGGCGGGTTGAAGCCATCACCCTCGGGCAGCGCACTCGTGTATCCGGCCTCATTTGCTGCGAGCAGGTCACTGACAGATATCCGGCCTTGCTCCCTGCGTGTTTATCCGTCATCCGTTCCGGAAAAACCTTTGCATGTATACACGTCATCCAACATGTTCTGGTTAAGTAACTTGCAGAGCATATACTGTCCAGAACAAAAGTTTTCAAAAGTCTTTTCAGAACCACAAGAAGTCACCAATGAGATGTCCTGTCACATGGATTCCCCTCAAATGTACTCTTGAAATGTTTTTTCATTGGTTGGCAGGCTCCTGTTGCGCATGTACTGGTTTCCCCTGAAAGTCCTGTACTCCATTCTGCCCTCGACGGCCAAGGTCTACTACGAGGGCCACTTACCGTTTGGCCTGGAGTTCAATGTCATGCTCTGGCTGCTCTTTGGCATGGACGTCTACTGGTTCTCTGTAAGTACTCGGCTGTTGTGGGTCTGGAAATAATAAGAAGTGCATGATAGTGTTGTAGTACTCGTATTTGTACTCCAGTACATGTGTTTATACTCGTACTCGTACTCATGAGAATGTATTCGTACTCATGAGAATGTACTCATACTCGCAAGTAAACTATTACCCGTACTGGTACTTAGAGCCGTACTTGTACTCCTACAGATGCTCTCCTGCTGATAATTAATCTTTTTTAAGAGGAACGTGCAGGGAAAGAACCAATTTTTCTACTGTTTTGGAGGTTTTTTTTCATTTGTATAATGCCTAGTTTGAAAGCAAGAAAAGCCCTTGGGATCGTATTTACCCATTGAAGCATACATGTACTCATTCTCACAGAAAAAAATTGCCGTGTACTCGTATACATACTCATGGCAAAGTACTTGTACTCATACTCATGGCAAAGTACTCATACTTGTACTCATGGCAAAGTACCTGTACTCGTACTCGGCAAAGTACTTGTACTTGTACTCAGCAAAGTACTTGTACTTGTACTCAGCAAAGTACTTATACTTGTACTCATGGCAAAGTACTTGTACTCGTACTCGTGGCAAAGTACTTGTACTTGTACTCATGGCAAAGTACTCATACTTGTACTCATGGCAAAGCACTTGTACTCGTACTCATGCAAAGTACTTGTACTTGTACTCATGGCAAAGTACTTGTACTCGTACTCGTGGCAAAGTACTTGTACTTGTACTCATGGCAAAGTACTCATTCTTGTACTCATGGCAAATTACTTGTACTCGTAGTCGGCAAAGTACTCGTACTTGTACTCGTGGCAAAGTACTCATACTTGCACTCATGGCTAAGTACTTGTACTCATACTCACGGCAAAACACTCGTACTTGTACTCATTGCAAAGTACTTGTACTCATACTCAAGGCAAAACACTCGTACTTGTACTCGTGGCAAAGTACTTGTACTCGTATTCGTGGCAAAGTACTCGTACTCATGCTCATGGCAAAGTACTCATACTTGTACTCCATTTGTACTCATGGCAAAGTTCTCGTACTCGTACTTAATTGTACTTACATGTAGAAGATAAAAAAATTCACACCATGGGCATATTTCATGGCCTGGAGCTGCTGAGGGTTGTGCGTACATGCACATTTCTATTTTTAAGTCATTAAATTAAACAAACAATAGGACTGAAAATAGTTTACTTGTCACTGTGCCTACTGCTTACACTTCATAGGCAGAACGTCGGGCAAAGATTCTGAAAGCCCCGCTAGAATTGTTTACAATTAGCTGAAAACAGAATTGATGGTTAAGTTTTAGGCAACCAGGTCGCACTTTCAAAGTACAGTCGACTCCCGTTATAACGAGCTCGGTCATAACGATAACCCGGATGTAACAAGCACATTCTCCCAGTCCCGATCAATTTGTGTACATTACTATGGGGAAATATTTGGTTATTACGTGCACGGACATAACGAGACTTCGGCTATTACGACGATTTTGGCTGACCCAATGCGAGGAAAAGCATTGTTCTCAACCATTTACAACGACATCTTTTCAAAACTACGGGCATTGCAGCTTGTCAACGACAGACCTTTTGTCCCGAAACAGGCATCATGCTCCCGTCTTCCAATTCAAGCAACACACTTAAGCTTCACCCATCAATGTACCTTTGTAAAGACTTCAACCCAACGTTATTTCATCTCGCCGATCTTAATAAATAAATTCAATGGGACTGTGATAATCGGCGCAGTGGACCGCTGGTCTAGTCGCTAATCCCCCGCTGCGGTTTCCCTTAGCGTGACCAGGCTTGAAGTTTGCTTACGACTGCAGTACCACGTTTCTATATTATTACAAACTAACAATAGGGGGCGCTCAGGAGTTAAGTGTTAACATTGTAAGGAATAGCCTTTAGTTACAGTACTACCGCCCGAACATCGGGTGCGTAATTGCTCCCTATTGTTGGCTTGTGGCTATAAAAAAAAAATACGAAGTAAAGAACACAGCATCACAAAACAAACGGCTCTTTTCAGAGCCACCACAACTTCCAAAAAGAGATAATTCAGTCTGTCTTCAAAAAATAAAGTTTAAAACATACCGTGGTTCCCACCACCAAAAAAGAATCCGAAGAATAAAAAAAATTAAAATCTTAAACAAATTAAGAACCCCTCCGGCCCCGCTGAAAAAACAATCCCAATGAAAACAGGTTTCCAAGATCTTCAAACGCCCCACCATATATACATTGTCCAAATTTAATCCAAAATTATTACTTTTGTTTATTTATTATTATTATCTTAAAAGAATCCCTCCCGACAAACAATAATCACCAATTGCTGCGAAATTACACATGGAGACACTTAAACCCGGAAGTAATATTAGCGCCCTCTCTTGCCCGATTCCAGCAAATGCAAAACGAAAGCAAAATGTCACTTGGCACGAATGTGCGCTATAGTTAACCGAAATAATTACAGTTTCAAAGAATCCCTTCAGAAACAATAATACCCAACTGTTCCAAAAAGTCAACAACCAAAAGGCATCTAAGGATCAGGAGTCATTAAAACCCGGAAGTAATGCATGTATTGGCGCCCTCTCTTGCCCGATTCCAGCAAATGCAAAATGAAAGCAAAATGTCACTCGGCACGATTTGTGCGAGTGACCTACTTGCCTGATTCTTCTCAGCGATGATGCCTTTTCCTCCGGATTCAGGTCCTCAAATATTGAACAATGTTCCCTTAAAGGTATTTTATTTATTTCATTTATTCATCACCATCAGTTAAATATTTAATATACATTAATAACAGACGTACATACCAACAAATGACCATCTTTTCATGTCTTCGGACGTGCGTTACACGATTAAAACACGCACGCACATGTACCGTACCTTGTGCACAACGAATGGGGAAAACTGCGCTCCGGTTTTAGCGAGGTTCCGGCTATAACGACAGTATTGTGAAAGTCCATCGGACCTCGTTATAACGGGAGCCGACTGTAGTACACTAAGATCTGGTGAAATAATGTGTTAAATTGTGCACTGCAGTGATATTGATGTTTTGAGATTGCCATGTCCTTTTTCTCTAACTCAACTGACAAATACTAATGATTGAAGAAGACACTTTAACCCTAAGTTACTAGGCATTTTTGCAAGGATGTAACCTCAATCCTGCAAAATCCTCCAACTGCCTCCATGTAAAAAAGGCGTACAGCCTCAATCCTGCAAAATCCTCTGTGATTTCTTGAATGTGGTCCTTGGAGGGGTGACCACTGCCTCAATCCTGCAAAAGCCTCCGGCAATCACTGTCAATATGTGGAGGCAGAGCCAATGACATCCTGGAGCAGTGCGGAGGATTTCAAGTATAATATACCGTAGGCCTAAATTTATGCACGGCTGAGCATAAACAACACAAGGTCTGGCCCAAGACCTTGACACAGTGCATCCTCCAAAATCAGCAACACACTTTGCCATGTAGCCTAAATCCGGCAAAATCTTTCATTTTGCAAAGAGGACTTTGGAGGATTTGGGAAGGTTAGGGTTAATAGTTGGACTGAGGAGTTCCTAGGATGAGTTTATCATATTAGTATTCAGCTTCAAAATAGAGCACAGGTTTCCCTGAATCTAGAATATTCCCCAAGGTGTCCTCGTTTGGAAAAATATTCAGGAGACTGTCTCAGGCCTGGGGCTTGTCAAGCCATTATCTAGCGTTTCCATGACATCCGGCCAAGGGGAATATGTTTTTCTACCTCAAGTGACGTCTTCGCCCATGGCATGTTATTTCCAGCCCGTACTTCATGCCATATTTACCCCTGACATGAAGGAAAGTGCGCCTAAAGTGGCTTTAATGGAAGGTCTAAAAAAAATAAATTAAAAAAAATAACAAACAGGGTCAGTCGCTACAAAAAAATACCTTAAGGATTCAGAGGACAGTTGCACAGCACTGGAGATGTTGGCTAATTTTTTTTAAACATTTCTCCCTCATTTAACATGTGAAAATTTAATTACAAACATATTTCAACATTTCACCAACTACCTTAATCATGTGATCATGAAGCTAATAAAGTGTGAAGTGTGACAAAAGAAATGCAGCAAGTTTTATTGGGCACAGTTGTGCAAAGTTACTTGTCCTTTGGTGTTGACTACTTCCCTCAGCTTTGCGGCGAAGATAGTCAAATACTTGTTTCCTCACTTCCCCTTAAAAAAAATGTTATTTTTGCATGATGCAGTTTGAGTTGCAATGCACTCTTTTCACACTTCCGCCATGGGCATGCAGAGCCTCGATCTGGCAACTTTACACAATAGATATAGCCGGCTCAGTGATTCCCGTGTCGGGGTTCAGACCACTGAACCGGCTATTTTTATTGTGTAAAGTTGCCAGATCGAGGCTCTGCATGCCCAATGGCGTGAAAAGAGCGAATGGCATTAACAACCCACTTATTTCCGGTTGTTAGGCCAAGCTATTTCACACAAATTCCCACAGACAAGGGTGTTACTTCTAGCCATGGCCAAGTAATTTAGATGTGGCAATTTATTTTTTCTTCTTCTCCCCACTCAGTTCATTATTCTCTTCCTGGTGAGGATATTGACGGGTTCCATGAAGGAGCTGGAAGACATCCGGGAGGAGACGGACGAAGAGGTGGTGAAATTAAAAAAGGAGAAGGAACTCAAGGAGCAGCAAAAGAAGGAAGGCGGGGAGAACACGGACCAAGCCTGCAACGGGTAGGTGTTTGATGAGCGTGTGATCGTGGAGCCTGATTAACCTCTAAGACAAGAACAAGTTTGAGCGAGAACTAGGGTTAAAGGCATATAGCATCATTTGTGTTTCATGTATTTAGTTCATTCTTAGAAGAACGTTCAAAACCTTACCTGTTGAAGGTTCGGCTTGTTGGATATTACACTTCTTGAGAAAACAGTGAAAAACCATGCACAACCTTTTTGATCACAAAACATGAGTTTGTCTATACCACTCTTTGCTTCCAAAAATCAGTCAACTGGCTGATCATTGGAAATCAGCTACATTCCTTGATTTCTTGTAAATGACAGCAAGCCAGACGGAATAATTTCACAAGGTGTTTAGTACCAATACAATCTTTAATCCAAGTAAACTGTTTGATAATAACTCGATAGGTTACTTTTGAGAGCAATGCAAATGATCCTATATGCCTTTTACCCATAGAACTATATGAAATTATGACGCAGATAACTCCTCATTCCCTCACATATAATACTTTCAGACACATCATGGAATTTATGAAATATCCCAAATCTTGAGATGGAAATTGTAATCTTACACATTCGGTAGATCTGCTCATAGTTTTTGGAGTCGGTATATTTCCCTTCAGTTTTCTTTCATAGTTTTTTAAATTTTATTTACTTATTTTCATTACTATTGACTTGTTCCTTCAATCGTTTTCCCCCTTTCCTGTCCAGTGTTGTGGAGGGTAACATCAAGAACGGCGACAGCGTGAAACAGCGGCGCAAAAACCCGGACGAGAATGGCAAGGATGGCCACTAGAGGGGGCCGACACAGCAAGTGATTTATTCGGGTGCACAAAACAACTGTGTGCAGAATCCGCTGTAGTGTGCAGTGTTTCAAATACAATATGTAGCGCATAATTTCTTTTCAGATTTGGGCGCACAAAACCTATTAGGGTTCAGGGCAAAACTAATTCTCCCTAGAACTTTTTCCCCCATTTAAATTTAGATTAGATGCCTTCCAATAATGGAGTGGGATGATCAGATTAAACTCTTTTTTTTTAAAACTTAGGTTTTCAAGTTTGTATCTCGTCAAGCCCTCTCGGTTAATTTTCCGGTTGTTCTTCAAATATTTTCAGAAATCGTTGATCATGGGATATATTTTTGCAAGTATCAGAAATTACCGAGGTTCGTGTGGATTTTTGCTTTGGTGCAGAGTGGAGTGTGTATGGCATTGTGATTGAAAAAATAATTGGAGTATTGATTGAAGAAAAATCTTTGTCCTGATCTATGTAAAAAAAGAAAAAAGAAAAAAAAACTAAAAATTTTTTATACATATTTATGACCATGAATTTGAAGATGTGATTTGTAATTTTCAAAGAGTGATGTAATAAGGTGTGTATTCTAATCATCAAATGTAAGCGTTCGAAAGGAATTGTCGTATTGCTCAGCGATGAGCTCGGGTCTGTATTTTGGCACCATCTACAGGCAGTGACAGGTATCAGTGTTGTGGTCGAGTCCGTCACAAGTCCCTGCAAGTCCGTCACAAGTCCTTCAGTCTCAAGTCAAGTCACTGTCAGTCAACGAACTGTAACAATAGCATTCCTTTGTCATTGTTCATCTCGTTATTTGTGACTGGACGCATGATAGGACTTGTGACTAGACTTGCGAAAAGACTGGTGAAAGGACTTGTGAAAGGACTTGTGATGGACTCAACTCCAACACTGACAGGAATAGCATGCACATTTTATTATTTTGTATACATGTATCTCCCTTTCTTAGATTTATTGGACTACGTGTACCTCAACACAAATTCAAACGCACCTGCATTTTTTTCAACACCTTCTCGTATTACAAGAGACTATTACTATTCTGTGAGCAGTTGAGGGAAACGTTTGGGGCCAATCTCAAAAGGCTTCTAATCAGATTTACAAAGAAATTTACTTGCCAAACCAAATCAGCAAGAAAACCTAGTCTCCACTACAGCAGGTTAGTTGGCACCTGCTCATACAGGCAAGTCAATTATCTGGGCTCAGTTTCACGACTCGGTTATCCACAGAATTTTTGCACATACGATCACCATTCCGAGCTTAGAAGCGCTAGTGCGAAAATTCTGAGCTGGCCCTGTAAGTACAGAATCCTTATGCATGTGCACAAGTACAAATGACTTGCTAATCCGTTAAATGTGCTTACTATTAAACACAGAAAATGTCTGCTATAGTTAGCGGGGTTTCTTCGCTTAGAGTGAGCAGAGCCATGGAATTGGGCTTTGCTTAGTTGCTTACTGTTATCAGATTATATTCAGTGCCAAATTTTCACAGCTCTACTCACTGTTAGCCGAAAATCCCTGCTTACTACAGCCGAAAATGCCATGTTTATGGTTAGCATATTTCTAAAGTTAGCAAGGAATATTGGCTTGTTCGCATACCTATATTCCATAATTAACGATTAAGTGCTTACAGGGTTAGCGCGAAATCTTTCTGCTTGTCCTGTAAGTACGGAATGGGAACTTTAAGCGCGGAATTTTGTGGTTAGCAGAGCAATGACATTGGGTCCCAGACTCGGACCAACGTTGTATGAATAATAATGGACATACCGGTATACGTATTGAACCAAGTGGCATTACTGGTGTAGCTAGTGTTGGCATGAATACAGACGACAGTCTCATGCATAGTTGTGTTGTCGTTCGATTTGAGTATATTTGGTGCATGTGCCTCGACTAGCTTTGCCGACGTAGTTCGTCAATTTCTTCTAATTCCGTATGTTTTTATGACATTTTTGTTGATTTGTCATTCATGACCAATCATGAACAGGATCATTCCTTCGATATCGAAGGCAGTCCTGCCATTATTATCATTCATGTGACTGAATTGTAAAGTTTGAATTGTGTAACATTGTGGCATTTTGTTTTGGGGATGATTGCGGCAGTTTCTGTTTATTTTTTTTGTGAACTGCACATGACTTTAAGCATTGGCACCTGGCCACATCATCAGTAGTAAGCTATGGCACGTGATAATAAACTGGGCCAGTTTCACAATTTCTGAGGTTGCAAAATGCTGATGTATTAAGGCCGGTTCATACTTCAGGCGAGTGTCGGTGCGAAGTGAATTCGTGAGGGGAGGGTAATGACGAACATCGAAAAGAAACTTCAGTTGTTGATGTCATAGAATTTGCCTCACTTCCGCCTTGGCATGAAGTATGAACAGGACTTGAGGCTGCATCCTAATGACTTGGCTGTGGTCATAACAACACAGCGGAAGTGGCCAAATCAAGTTCCCATTGAAACGCGTGTTATTTCTAGCCGTAGCCAAGTCATTTTGATGGCAATAGAGTACCGAAGGCTGCCGTCAGGTGTGTTTGTTTCGGTTCATGCACTGGTATGCGCACTGGTGTCTTCACATACCTAAGCTGTGCACGTAAACCAAAATGCGCAGCACGCTTCAGTACTCAGTGGTGAAGAATGGTGATGAACTGGCCTTAAAACTGATTAACCAATTAAGTTGGGCCACATGTTACGCTCATAGGCCTGCTTGTATAATATTGTGCATAAAATGCTTGCTATAAAAAGCGTAAAAAATGTACATGTATGCTAACAAAGCGATGAATTTACATACTTTCTTCTTTTTTTCTTCTATCTGTCAAAAGCGCCTTATATTGTTCAACAGTAAAACAGATAGTTTTGCTTTTTTTTTACGTCAGATTATGTCTGGTAGGTTTTTATTTGGTGGCTTTGTTTTGGGGATGAATGAGGCAGTCCGTATGCACTTTGTTAATTTGGATTGACTGCTCATGACCTGAGCAATAAAGCTGCATTCTAATTGTAAAAAAAAAAAATAGTTTAAAAGTAAAGATAAGGAATGTTCAGATTTTGCATGACATATCTGTCGCAGAAATATGTAATGGGCAAAATAAAAAAATTGGTTACCTGAATGCAGTGAAATGTGTTCATTTCCAAGCAAAACAGCCTACCCCTTCACAAATGAAGGAATTTTAATATAAACAAAAACTCACCCAAAAGCAAATTTTGTTTCCAATTAAATATGTCAGATAGACTTTCAGAAATATCACAATAAGGTTTTATACGAAAAGTATGTGGCAATCTGCTTCCACCGTATCCTGAAAGCATATCAGGTTTAGTATGTACAATGAAGTAGTGTGTTTGGAAATAAAACATTTTAGAGCTGTACAAATAATATTAAACAAATAATTAAAAAAACACTGTTTTTTTCTTCTTTATTATAAAGGTGGTAGTACTTTTGTGTAGTAAATTAACAATGGGGTTTCATTTTCAAGGTGAATTGGTATTACATCTTCTCATTTGTGAGTGTATTCTAATTTCTATAATTGCGTTACTGTACTTGCTACGCACTGCTTCTCCCAAAATCTGTCGTTGTCTGCAAAAAAAAAAAAAGCTCATCATTTGAAGGCTTGACATTGTAGTAAAAACTGCCTTAAAGTGAAAATACCTGTCATTGAAACGGCTGATTTGGGCGTGGTATTGTTTCTGTGCAAGACGCTTCTATAATGGCACACCCAACTCATTCTTTTGTACATAAATTTATAGGCAGGCAATTAATATGCAGTTATGCAAATAAGCTTGAATAAGTGTAAAAAGTCAGGAAGCTGGGTCAAAAGGGTGAAAAGAGTACAATAACGAACAGGAATAAAGACTTGTGCGTTTGATTTAGACTAAATAAAATGTACATGCCAAGGGCAACCATTCAGATTTTTATGATGTAACAAGTGTTGTCACTGGATTTTTTTAATCAACAAAAAGAAATTGTACTATTCCACACAAAGTATGGCAGTACATTGGCAATTTCGTCTTTGTAAATATTTTTGATACCCATGTGTCATTGTCTTATGATAGGTTGCAGATCAGTGTAACCATTTTCTGAGGAGATAAGTACCCTCTTGATGCTGAGTGATGACCCTTAGTCTGTTCCATCTGGCACTAAAACCATGCTCGCATTGGACTTTTATTTGTAAAACCAACAGAGACTGATGTTTACTTTACCGAGACTGTAGTCAACTTAACCAAAAAATTGGTAAACTTCCCAAATTGTCAAGTGTCGATTGTAAGATTTACCATCTGCAGCAGTAAGTTTTACAGGGCCAACTGGGTCGTGGAAGAATTACATTGTAACTTTGACATCACTGAAATGTCCCGTGCGGACGCCAATGCCATGTCAAACATACGTTTTAGTCATGTGTCTTGCATGTGGGTCACCAATATTTACCTCTGTAATTCACATGTGTGCCATTTAATATAGGCCTACATACTTCACGTGAGATTCTACTGTATTTCTGTGATATTATTTGGTGCATTTTTCCACAACCGCACCGGTCGTTAGGTTAAAATGTCAGTCACAGGGGGCCCTCATAAGATTTGTAAAAGAGCATGGTACAGTAAAGTGAAATGGATAACTTTGTGCAGGCAAACAATGGAATATTGATAATCCCTCGCGGTAACTTTTTACAAAGTCCAATGCGAACGTGGCTTAAGTCTAGTTCCCTGTTCCATGGCTTTGGGAACAGGGGTGGTGTGCAATAGTAGGAATTGGATCACGGTCCCTTACTATTGTGGCAAAATTTGGCAGTTTTGGATTGGGCTAATCATGTCTATGTTAAAAACAGAAGCTGCTAGCCAGTTCATTTGGAAAGCAGCCTTCCTAGCTTTACCCTTTCACTGGTTCCCCCATGCATAAACCCAAGTCACTGACGGCATGCTTGGTACCAGTGGTACATGTAATTATTTGGAAAGCAGTGACACTTTTGAGCCTTATTGAGTGTGTGCATCATTTGAATCTTGTGCAGGTTCTTGAAGGGGTAAAAAAGGAGGCAATTCTTGTATCCCCAATTAAGATTGCTGAGCGTGCTGAGGAAAAGGTGTCCATGAAGGTGCTTGTTTCTTTTAAAATAAATTAATAAATGATTTTCTAACGTAGCACTAGATCATAGTATTCCACATCGTGAATTTATAGTTTATCGGTAACTTAAAAGGGAAATTGACAGCATAAAGCATGCGTGTGATCAGTAATCATGATGACTTTGTTATCAGTTGTAACGAGGTATGCTCATTTAATTGTTTCCTTTGTAGGGTAATTGTGTGCTTTAAAAGGCTGTCTTCCTCATACCTGACCTACGTATAAATGTATTTAACATGGAATGGAGTAGTTAACTTTGAACAATTTTGGGGAGATGCATCAAGAAAGCAACTTTGTAGCAGTCTTCAATGCATCTTTCCTGGATTTTCCTTCATTTTTGAGGGTGATATTCACAGTTGATTTTAACGGGTACATTATGTCCTCTCGTCAGTTAAAAGTCCGGCTTTCTTTTCAATTGTAGGGTTTTTGAAAGCACTCATTTATTTTGTGTGTTTTTGGAAAATACATCATTTCAATGTTTTGATTGCATAGCAGCCTGGAATGTTTGAAAGATGCACAAAAGGAGTGACCAGCCTAACTTTCTAGATTTAGACAATGTGGATTAAGTAATTATAGCTCTTTGATTTTGTTCTAATAATTTCTAGTGTGTTTAAGTGTAATTACTCATTGTAATAAAAGTAACGGATAATAGATATTGTATATTGTTGGCTCGTCTGTGTGAATTTGTTGGTAAAAAAATTCTGGTACATCTTGTAAAATAGCAAATTCAGTTTTCGGTTCATAATGTCAGTTCAGGCATGTTACCTGATTTCCCCTTTTATTATTTTTATCATTAAAAATTGGAAACCCTATAAAAAGAACATGTATTGTGTAGCTTGAAACTTCCTCTTTCTAACTATGTAACTGCCTAGTATTTTTTTTTTTTAATACCCGATTTGTTTTCTCAAAAATCTCCCAAATTTGTTATTGTGTTTTTCCCTAGCCCCTGTTGAACAATTATGCTCATTTATTTGTACAAACATCATTAGGGAACACCCGGCTGATTTTGTGCCTAATTTCCGGACGCCACCATGTTTGTACATGTGTATCTACAAAATTATTTTAAAAAAATGTTGACACATTTTTAAAGGGAATATACAACATTTGCAAACATCAAAAAATAAAACTACCAAGTTTTTACGAAATACCTTACTAGGATGTTGGTAAATGACAGTCTCAAGCATCTTGTAAAATTATGGCACCTGGTGTGAAGTCATTTTCAAGAAAATGGTATTTTTGTAAACATTTCCAACGATGGTCGGCCGACCAGCGTTGGAAAAACCGAACTATTTTTCAACTACTGCTCCAAATTTACCATTTTTCAGTCCAAATTTTATTTGCTATTGGTTACATGTTCATGAACGGGTGCAGGCCAGCTAGACTGGTTCCCTTGCCTTACAATTTTCCATCATCTATAAATTGATCCATTTTATCTTTGTGGGGTCAGGGAACCAGACTACTTGAACATTTTTGTTTTTCTTGGTTTTTCCAACCTTTTCGAACACAAAACTTCAAAAATGTCAATGTAACAATATTTGATCTATTATACTAACCTCTCAAATAGTTCATTTCTGAAAATTACAGCAAAAGCCAATGATGTACATTCCCTTAAAAAAAAAGGGTTCATTGTGCACTTAAAGTAAAATCAGGAAATCACGCCAAAATTAAGTTTTTTTCTTTTAACTTTGTAACGGGTAGTTAAACTCAACATTTATGAACGGAAATGTTTAAAGTTTAATACGATTTCACTAACTCTGAAATTTGAGGTAAACTTTTTGCTCTAGCAAGGCACCAGAGGCGAAAAAAATCAAAGTGCGCCACGTCGTTATGGCCGCGCTATGTTAGGGGACATCAACAATACACAGAATTAGAATTTTTTTTTCTTTCATTAAAAAAAGAAATACCAACCAGTACATGGTGCAATGTATTTTTCTTTTGGATATTTTGCTTTTAAGATCTTTTTTGACTTGCGAAAGTAATTCGTATTCGCTATCGCGAACACCTGTTAAGTTAACCGCGCTCATTAATGGACGGCATTCATTGGCTGATGCCCAAAAAGTTTTGACCAATTGTAGCCACTGTATTATACTGGCCAATCAGGTTGTGAGTACTAGTCACGACCCGGTAACGGCGACCACGTGCTATACCTACAGCTATTTTATGCAGCGTAACGACATGAAGTTTTTGTTAAACGTCTTTGGCCAGCAGGCCTATTTCGTCAGAAACGCGATGGAAATCACAGGTAAATTTCAACAAACCCAATGATTCTCATTAGTTTTATAACATGAATAAAACCCTTCAAAGTTTGAAGCTCAGTAAATGTTTCTTGTAGGATGAATTGCAACGTAAAATACCGTGGGAAACTTATTTTTTTTGCACGGGTAGCACAAGGAAGGGGTCGAATTTACCGATAGAGGGCGCCCATAATGTGAGTTTACTTAGTGTGTGCATTGTGTAAAACATGTCTCGGAGTCGGAGCGAGCATGATCAGAGTTTGGGGTGTACTGTACTACGTGTAATAATATCAAAATGTATATTTAACCTTGTCCCTCGAAATTCATTTTCTTTGTGCCTTCAGTAGGCCAAACCATGCTAACCAATGTTCGGCCTAGTTTTATTATTCATTGCCATTTTAGTATTACTACCTTCCCCCCTTGCATCGCCCCGCCCATCTCTTCCATTCTGTTCTGTTTTTAATTTTTTAAATTTATCTCAAAAAGCAATTCTGGGCCTACCTAGTGTAACTTCACGCAGAACGAATTAGTCATAATTCTAGGTTTGGAAAAGGTAGGCCTAGGCCTACATAATACACGTTTACACAAAAAGTGTTTTCCAAAATTCTGAAAACAACTTCGATATGTTCGATCCAAGTCCGGCTTTTTAAACCTCAGTCAATCACTGATACCAGGAGGTAGGCATGGGTACATCTACATGTACATTACACCCACCTGTTGCAAATTTATTTCAAAATTCAATGAAGCAGTCACCTGTGTGACATCCTTTTCATTTACACTGGCGCACGTGAACAAAAAAGCAAGGCAATACAAAAGAGAAAGTGAAAGAAATTGAGGGGTGCAATGTCGGGATCACTCGATGTAACTTTTAACTTGTTTGCGGGTCCTCATGGAAAGAATGTAGTATCCAGACGCCACTTCTTTGGTTGTGTACAAAGTCTATGGAGAATTGAGTGCATGCATTTTCAAACTTTTATTCTAACAAACTTGAAAATAATGTTTCTCAGTCCCAGATTCATGTCCCTTCAACATTTTGGCAATGATTGACCTTCATAAGTATTTGATGAAAAAGTGGTGTCGGGATGCAACATTCTTTATTTAGAAGGCAGCCTGTTCAAAAAAGGAGCAATTTCATCTTTGTTCACTTCTTGTTGATCCAACCAGTGTTGTATGGTACATGTACATTGTACATGTAGGCCTCACATCTGGCCCTCTGAGTCATAACAACATGCTTTGTAGTTCGTAGACAAACACTAAGTTTAACACCCGAATATCATAAATACTTTGATTCTAACAAGCTCCAGAAGAAATCAAGCACACTAGATGCTTATGATTTTGGAAAAACTTTCTAAGTATCAAACTACTAAAATCTTGGGGGTCGGATGAATAAAGCATTTGAGGATCACAACTACAGTGAAGTTGTAGCTGAATTGTTCATTACTTTGACGCATTTGTTTTTAATGAAATCCTGATTGTTAGATCAAAAAATTCATATCGTGCTAGAACCGTGGCCTACTGGCCTTCATGTACCAAATGTTCATTCCATGATTGAATAGAGATGTGCGTCACGTAAGTTGCATTTCTATGGCATGTGTACAATGGGCAAACTTTTCAAAATCACACGTGTACCGTAACTTCCACTCCCTGAGCATCACTTGTGTGCTGGAAATTATATCTCTTTGTTACATGTACTTAGTTTATGCATTCATGAGCCATTTTCCCAAATAACCAACTACAGGTGTTAGGAGACCCAGTTATTCTTGCGTTAAGATTTTTCTTTTACTGTTAAATAGATGGCAACAAAGAAACGTGTGTGGTTTTTATCGGGTGAAATCTTTGTTCACAAAAAATGCTAATCAAAGTCACTCAGCCCTGAGGAATTTATCTTTTCTCCATTAAAATGAAAGTTAAAACCTTTTAACCACGTGCCACCACCTGCAGGTGAACATGCAACCTTAAAACTGTGTATGTACGTATGTGTTATAGATCGTTTTGTGCATCAAATTTAGACCATTTACTGCATAAAATATGAATACACCTTCAAAGTTGGGCAAATAGGAAGATACTCGGCTTTATAGTCAGGCATGCAACTTTTCCTCGGATCAGCTGATTTCCTCTTTTTTTTACTTCCAATGTGTGCCATTGAAAATAAAAAACACTGTACAAAGTCTGGGGAAAATTTGAATTTCCTTTTTTTGTGTGATTTCCAAGTTGCATGCCTGTTTAGTTAGTTCCCCAACTATTAAAGCATATCTTACACGTTTTAAAGGTAGGGTAGATCATTTGTCATTTATGCATTTTTGTTTGTAGCAACCACAGTGCTCAAAATCTGTGGACGGGTGCTCAACTAACCCGATGAAGTTTTAGCTCTCTCAATTTCCAACCATCGTTGGAAGTTGATTAAAAAATTCCACTTTTCTTGAAAATGACAGCACACCTGGTGCCATGTTTTAACAGGCTGCTTGAGGCTATTAGTCACTTACAGTCAAGAAAGTCAATAAATTTGTAGTTTTTTGGGGTTTTTTTATGTTTGCAAATGTTGTATATTAACTTTTAAGTTGTGTGTCTACAAACTGTGTTAGTACAAAACCTCTATGCGATGATATTCCTGGCAAAGATTATATCAGCTCTCAAAAGTAAATTTATCATTCCAAAGGGCAAAGTTTGGGTTAATCCTTATGCATTCAGCATGCGTTCTGGGGTGTCTTTGATTGAAGTTCAGTCCTTGAACTCTGGTAATATGCATTAAGTTTGTGCGTGGGGGAAAAAAAGATGTTCCGGTGCCCCCGCGGTTTTCCCGAATTTGCACTGAACTTGGATCTTACCAAAGTAGCTGTCTGGTCTATGAGGAAATCATATTATGATTCTTTGTGTGGGTTTATCTTTCTCAAATAGTTGACCGATTTTGGTTCCTATTAATTTTTTGTTCTATTGCTTTAGTTTTGGCATTGTGTTTGGTTGAATAAAAGTAACAACTGGTTGATATTTCGTAGTGGTATTTATGTACAAATGCAATGTAAAGGCATTTATTAGCTTATAAAAGCTTTAACATTTATAAGCTTTTCCTTTTTATTTGCAACGAGCAAACTATTCATCTCCTACATGTATTTTGGCTATTTGAGTGGTCGGGCACAACCCGACCACTCTTTGGATTTGTTCCGATTAATCTTTCTTTCTTTCTTTCTTTCTTTCTTTTTTTTCCGTACAGCACGTTTCCGCGGGTTTTCTCCTAAATGGTTTATGATAGGAACTCGTAACTTTCAATATATATCGACCCTCATCCTAAGTGGTGCATATTACTCTGACGTCATCATGACGTCATCGGGTGTCAAATTACAAGCGATTTTCGTTAAAAAAATGACGATCTTCTTACACCTATAACTCTTGAACAAATTGATCAATTATGTTCCAACCTTGTAATCAGATAGACCATTAATCGCTAAACATTTTTTGTCATGTACGTGAATTCGCGTGACCTTTACTTCCGGTTCTACCGGAAGGTTAAATTTAAGTGAATTCAAAATGAAGAAATTAGCCTGAAATCAAAACAAAGCACAATTTCTTCAGAACGGAATACGGTATGATCATAAAACCTAGTGTGAACTTGTACCATGTTAGAAAGATGTTATAAATGTTGTTACATCATCATGACATCATCAGATATCAAATTACAAGCGATTTGATGGCACGATTTGACAAAATAGTTTGACCTATATCTCTTGAACTAAACAGAGTATCTTTATCATTTTTTCATGAGGTTGTAGACGGTGCCTTGAGCAACATTTCTTATTCCCGGGGACAAAACTGCTTGACCTTTACTTCCGGTGTTACCGGAAGTGCAATAGAAATTGAATCTTACTCTAAAACGGAAGAATTTTACTACAGACAAATACATTATGGAAGTGTTAAGTGAGGAATGCCAATCGCAAAAACATCATTTTGACGTCATCGCACAAAAGGGCGCCCTCTAGCGGCACATCATAACAGTTTAATCTTTCAAAATGTTAAAACCCTCAATCCAATTTTAATAAAATTGCCCCAATATATCCCGTGAGCAACCACAAATTAATTTGCAAGGTTTCATAATAATGACGTCATTGACCGGAAGGTACTGTAGGGAGAATTCAACACTGATCATTTTAATTTTTAATTTAAATCCATCATATGATCCCTGTCTCATCACTTGCCGAATAAAATGACATCTGTTACACTTAATATTGACCTTTTGCTTCCAAATACTGTGACGTCATCAAACCGGAAGTTAGGTGTTATTATTACATACACTTAAATTCCATATTCCAATCCGTTATTTCTACTTATTGATAAACAAGCGTCCTCCCTTCTTTTTTTGACTGATTACGTCTTCAAACCGGAAATGACTTGTACGTGTACCTAAATGTTTACTGAAATTTAACATACCCTAAAAGACGTATTCCTTTTGTACAAAATAATTGGTATTGGAAATGTTAAAGTCCTTTTTTCGTGCCAAAAACATATTCATAACTTAACTGGACAATATCTAATGAAATAGTTGTCTACCCGACCACTCTGCGTTTGTAACAACAAACGTGAACCTCTAATGTTTATTTATTTTCCCATTTGGAGTACGGGTGGAGTTTATAGACTTACTATTTCTTCATTAGCCTGTAGGACTTAAAACTAAGGGGGAGTGATATGGTAAGTCTTGTCATGTCCAGTGACATGCGAGGGGGGGGGGACCCCCATCCCAATATTTTGTAACAAGTGCCCTTTTTTCCCAAGTGCCCTTTTTTCACGAGCACCATTTTTTACTGAGTGCCCTTTTTGGAGCGTTACACCCCCCCCCCCCCCTACTCAAATACTCCTGTTTGTGTGTGAAAAAGGTATCATGCAGCAAATGACATTCACTTTTTTGTAAGGGTTTAATATTCCTCTCTCTTGTTTTATCAATACTCTACAGGTTGATGTCAAGACCTGTGCATTCTTGGAATTCTTCAGCCTTTCTGGAGATCTTTCTGGAGACCCACAGGCCACCACTCTAAGGCAAAACGAGAGAGCTGAGACTTGGAAGAAAAGGGGAATAAGTCTATAAAAAAAATGGAGAGCTCTCCGTGAAGAATTACTCCTTTATTTGTGCAGAATATCTTGAAATTGGTGACGTTTATGTCATGTGTGTGATCATGAAAAGTGACCAAAACAGAAATCCTGCAGAAAATTTATTTCGTTCATTTCATGTTTAGGTCAGTGCATGTATTCCATGTTTGGATCGTACAACAATTGTATTCTTCAAGAATGTGGATACTTCTCAAAGTTAGATCAATGAAAATAAAACCCAGCAGCTAAGTCTTCTTGACAAAAAGAAGAGCAAAGAAAGTAAACAAGAATGGAAGTGAAATCAGAAAGCAGGAATTACTCTGTGATGTCGGAGATTGGGACGGGGGCCTACGGCACAGTTTACAAGGCTCGGGATTGTGAAAGCGGGAAGGTGGTCGCGTTGAAGAAAGTACGACTGCACACGGGAGAGGAAGGGATACCCATGTCGACACTACGAGAGATTGGTTTACTCAAACATCTGGGTCAGCTGGAACCTCAGAATATTGTCAGGTAAGTTTTGTTTCAAAGGCGTATATAGGATCATTTGCTCTTCATGTATTGTTTTTTCTTTTCGTTTCCAATGATTCCGTCACTCAAAATCCAATGAAGAACGTTCAAAACCTAAGTTGTTGAAGTTTCAGCTCGGTGAATAGTACACTTTTTGAGGAAACGGTGAAAACCATGCAAACCTTTTAGTCACAAAGCTCTTTAACTTAAGACTCTATTTCCAACGATCAGTCAACTGCCTAATTGTTGGGAAATCATCTACATTTCTTGGTTTCTTCTAAATGACTGTAGTACCAGTTTGACTAGTTAGGATCTATAATGCAAATAAGCGTTTTTGATAATAATTTGTTAGGTTACCTTTTGGATAAATGCATATGATCCTATATGTGCCTTTAATTGACTTCAAAAGAAATCTACACTTCAAGTTTGTATTGTTAGTCACAACAGAAGATTACAATTGCAATACTTGCTTGAGTTGGTACATTTGAAGCTTCAAAACAATGAGAATATTTTTATGGTTGCGAAAAAAGTAATAAATAGCATAACTGATTGTATTTTCTAATACATTGCATCAGGCTAGTACCATTGCAAAACAGTGGTACATGTAACTGTTGGCCAAAACATTGAACATACATGTAGATTTATTTAAGATGAAACTCTTTAATGTTCAGCAAAACACTGTTGAATTGACAGACTGGTGCATTAATATAAAGCTATAGAAAAACTTATGCAATTTATGTATTTCATTTTAAGTTCATAAAGTAATGCCTAGAAAGTTCAAAGCAAATGTATCTTTGTATATGTACTTTACATGAAACAGATCACTTTCAATAGAAGCAAGTACATAACCTTTGCCATTCGTTTTGAGCGGTACACATTTGTTTCCATACTCCAAAGGTTGGGAAGAAAAATGCTCTTCAGCATATAAAGTGGAAACAACAATGTTCAGGTTAAGGTTCTGTCAAACAATGATATCCATTGCAAAAAGTTTGGTTTCCATGAAATATGCAGACAAGTACATGTACATGTACATGTACATGTACATGCAGCCAAACTTTCCCCACTGCCATATTCCATTGCCCACTGGCCCCTCAGCATGCCCTGTTACAAAGGGTACCGGTATGCATGTTTCTTGAGTTTTCTTTTTTGTTCTTGGATTACAGGCTTTTGCTCTGTGTTTGCTCATTGATTTGTTAGCCCAGACCCATAGTGTTAGGTGGCCGGAATAAAAAAGTCCCAACATTCCTTGGGATTTGAATTGTATAAGGTGCACTGGAGTTAAATGGCAGGTTTTCTGAGGGTGCAAATATTGTGTAACATGTACATGTGTTGGAATGTTTTCCTTCATGATTTTAGTGGTGGGAATTTTTTTGGTGGTGCTGAAGCTGCAAGTTATACTGAGTGTTGATCCATTCTGAATACTGATTCATACTGAATACCAAAGCTGAACCATTAACCTCTGTGCACCGTGGTTATTTAATATTTTGTTGATCACCAGAAACTCACATTGTGTGGAATATTACATGTTTGGAACTAGTTACAACAAAGGAAACATGGAAAATTGTTGCTAAGGGTTGCATAAACTGATCAGTACCTCTTTTTCATATTATTTGCAAATGTCCTTTTGAAACTCACTGTAATGCATTTCACATAAAAGCAAGTAATTTAGCTGTGTTTTGATATGTATTTGGGCTTGTCGTTCTTTCTTTACTCATTAAAATAAATTAAGGGAGTACATGTAGTTACAACCACCTCATTGGTGGAAACGATTTTCAATGTATTGCCCATCGTGTACCAACAGGCTACTTGACGTTTGCTATGGAGGTATATCAGGCAACAATGAGATGAACCTAACACTTGTCTTTGAATACATCGACATGGATCTCTCAACTTACTTGGATAGGTGCCCCTCGCCTGGTCTGGAGCCGTCCAAAATAAAGGTAATTGAAGGCACATAGGATCATTTGCATTTATCCCCAAAGGTAACCTACCAAATTATTACCAAAAAGCTTACTTGGATGAAAGATCATACTGGTACTAAACACATCTTGAAATTAGTTCGTCTGGCTTGCTGACATTTGGAAGAAATCAAGAAATGTAGGTGATTTCTAATGATCAGTCAATTGACCGATTTTTGGAAATAAAGAGTGTTATTGACGAAATCGTGTTTCGTGATCAAAAGATCGTGCATGATTTTTCACTGTTTTCTCGAAAAGTGTTATATCTACCGAACTGAAACTTAACAGCTTTGGTTTTGAACATTCTTCTTTGGATTTTGAGTGGTGGTGTAAATATTGAAATCGAACAAAATGCATAAAAAAGCAAATGATCCTATATGCCTTTAATTAAAGGGAATATATACAACATTTGCTTTTGCTGTAATTTTCAGAATCGGATGGATTTGGGGGGTTAGTATTTTATAGCAAATATTTAAAGTTTTGTGTTCGTAGATGCTGGAAAAACCGAGGAAACAAATCATGTTCTTGTACAAAAATTCCACCTTTGTCATTCACTAACAGGCCAGTCAGGTATTTCATAATAATTTGGTAGTTTTGTTTTTGATGTTTGCAAATGTTGTATATTGCCTGTAAGAATGAAAGCCAGTAGGAATGTCAAGTGGGTGAGTGGCTGTAACGTTTCATTTCACAAAACTTCAAATAATGGTGAATATTATTAAGTAGATGATATTGCAAAGTGAATTTAAGGTATGTGCTGAACAAAATCAGCTGAGCAGTCATTGGCAATAAGCATTGCATGAAATATTTGCACTAATAACCTGTATTTGGGAAGCAACTTTATTCTGTGCCTGGCAAATTTCTGCTCTAACATAATGATTGGGTTCTTTTGTGTATCTAACCCACTTGCAGGAACTTGCGCACCAGTTAGTCTCGGGGGTTGATTTCCTTCACTCACACCGCATCATCCACAGGGACCTGAAACCTCAGAACATCCTCGTCAACTGCGACGGGCACCTGAAATTGGCCGACTTTGGACTGGCGAGAGTCTATGGTTTCCAGATGGCTCTAACATCCGTGGTTTGTCACATGTTTTCACCCATTTTCTATCCTTTGAACATAACCGAAGTCAAGGTAACAGGAAGTGAGAATGACAAAAAATCTGCCGCTGAACAAACAGTGAGAGATAACCTTTTAGCTTCTAATGCTTTGTTAAAGTTTCTTTTTGCCAACAGAGTATTCAAGCATACAATGTTTCCTCGGATCAACTGATTTCCTCATATTTAACTTTCCACGTATGACATTACAAATGGAAACCCACAAGTTTTTTTGCAGCTTGGAATTTCCTGTTGTTTGGGGTTTTTTTTAGTTAAGTTCCCAGTTGCATGACCGAGTATTATGCAAGATACTTGACACCCATTCTTCCATTTTGTTTTTTTTCCGGCCGCTGCCTCTTTGTTTTTGTTTCTTAATTTGTACATTTGCAATATATTTTGTACATAATTGTCAATACATTGTCTTTTTATTTGTTCCAACAAAATTGCAACTGTGTAGAAAGGGTTATGGCTCCTTTGCACACAATTCTGTACCAGCAAAAAAGACGGGGCAAATTGAAGAATCTATCCGCCATCTTGGAAATTTCGCCATCTTGGGGGGAAAAAAGAAGAAGAAAAAAGCGCCCGTGTCCATCATTTTTTAAAAGGGGCACTAGGTCCTGAAATACCCGAAATTTCATGTTTTGGATTGTTTACTTATCCTATTTCAAACATCTGGTTGAAAGGAAACCAACCTAATGTCTTACCGTTCCCGAGAAAAGACGAAAAAACCTTGGTTGTTTACATTGGACACAACGGAGAACGAATACCTTTTTCGTGTCGTTCTCAGTGTACGATATACACGCTGTGTGTCTCGGGAACAGCGTTGACCAATCACCAATGCAAAAAATGTTGGTTTCTTCAACGTCCGCAAAAGGCGAACACTTTACTAATGAAATCACAACTAGCATCAAAACAGCTCGAATTTATGGGGTCGCAAAAGTGGACCCCGAAATTTGTTTTCGCACGCATAATACAGGAATAACCCAAAAACGCCCAGTTTTTAAAGGATAGTTGTGTGGATGTTTATATCCTACTTTTAAATGTTCTTTCCAATTAACATCATCTCGTTCAAAGCGCGTTCTGTAGCCCAATTGGGCTGTTACAGGACCCAGTGTCCCTTTAAAAAGGCCGGACGAAAAAACTAGTTATTTTTGTATACTTGGCAGTTGTTGTTTTTTCCTACTCCCCTAACCAGGTGGTCACGCTATGGTATCGAGCCCCTGAAGTTCTGCTCCAATCCCAGTATGCCACACCTGTTGACCTGTGGAGTGTGGGCTGCATATTTGCCGAGTTGTTCAGAAGAAAGTAAGCTTGTTTGGCATTTCATATCTGATGGTTTATTGGGTTTCACACTTCAGAAACAACATTCCATAAGCTCTGTGCTCGATGCCATCCATGAGCTTCAGGGGTGAGGTTTGTTAGGATTTGTTCTGATTTCAGGATTGTAAAAAATCCCTTTCAAGTCAGGAATTTGGGGGATTTTACCATGCAGGTGTCTGTACATATAAAGGTTGATGTAGAACAAAAAGAATGGTTATTTGAAGGGGTGCCTTTAGCCAAATACAAACATATGCCATATCTGGATCTGGATCTGGATCAATACTACAAGCAATCTCTCGTTATGGGATGTATAGATTGCAGGTTGCCATAGACCCTACATGTACGTTGATCTTGGGCCCTTGGCATCCCTCCAACCCTCTGCCAATTATTTCGTGAATTTTTCATTACCCCCAATCTTACCCCTGGAGCTTACAAGCAAAACGTCACAAGCTTGCTTGTTGGGTGGGACCCTCCACCTTCTGCTTCCTACCTACATAGCTTTCCAGTGTAAGCTGACCAGTAACTGTCCCCCTTTTGTTTTGAGAGTGATTTCAGTTTATAATGTGTGACTGAACTGGCTGTTTCTGTAAATAAATTGCAGCCGACTGACTAACACAGCAAACGGTGGATATAGTTCTGTACAGATTAATTGCGGATCAATCCAAAAAATAAAATTAAATTCTGCTTTTTGAAATTTTTGGATTTGGTTATTTTAAAACACTGCTTATCTTCATTAGAACCAAATCTTTTTTGAAGTTCACATGCCCGTACCCATTTTGTGGTGTTTTACCATAATATTTCCTTAAAGTTGGTAGGCCGTAAAAGTTCAACCATTTCCTAAGTTGTACTGATTATTTTCTGCAACTCTTGTTCTTTTAGACCATTATTTTGTGGAACTTCAGATGTTGACCAGCTTTATAAAATATTTGAGTAAGTATTGTTCTGAAGTTTCCCTCGTTTAAAACTGAATGAATTTATTCTGCAGTGAAAACCCAAAGAACCTAAACACAAAAGGTATTGTTTTTGTGAACGTTTCTTTACCTGAATTTTATTTGTCCTTATTGCAGTGTGATTGGTTTACCTCTGGAAGAGGATTGGCCGGAAGTCTCCCTGCCGTGGAGCTCATTCCGCCCATCGCCGCCCCGCCCTCTGAAACTATATGTCAGTGACATATGTCCACAGGGGCTGGACTTGCTACAGGTAACAGCCAGGGATTTGGACTACATTCTTGCAAGTTGTCTAAATTAGTTCATCTCTTTGTTTGAAATAAGGCTAATTTCTTCCAGTGTACTTTAGGCCCCCCAAAAAAAGTCTCCGGTTTCTGGTATGCGCGCGCGTCGCCGTAGCCATGCGCGTCGGCAAAAGGAAAAAGTTTTTTTTCAATGAAAGATGATGTCTCAAAACAGCCAAACTCACTGGTTTGACTGGAATCCTGCTGCTGCACAATTTTAACGTGTTTTTAGATGGGGTTATGATCGAGAATAAGCTTTATGTGGCCTCTCTGGACTCCCATATATTTGCACTAAGTTTAGTCAGGCACCATTTGCAGTCATCAGTCGACATTTGAAGCAAAAAAGTCAGGTAAAAAAAAAAAAAAAGCCGCGTCGCCGCACCACTTTTTGGACAAGCTCCATACCAGAAACCGGAGACTTTTTTTTTTGGCCTTAGTTGCAAGCAACTCCTATTGTGTAAAATGCTTGTGAAATTATTGCTGATTTGCTTGTATACATGTACATGTAAAATAATTCTGAAAGGATATTGATAGACAAATGTAACAAGATTTGCAGTGTACCTATGCCCCAGAACTTTGTAATAACATGATGTGGCCGGAAGGAGTGCATTGCAGGTGTCCAGAGGATGTTCTTTGTTAATATAATTTTGGTAACAGTGAATGCATAAAAGATTTACTCATGCATGTCCAGCCAATACAAAACCATTGCTCTAACTCTGCCTTATAAATACAAAAGGACTTTTAATAAAAGCACACTTGAAAGTTCTGTTGTTGTCATAGGATCAATGTGCTTTACATGGTACCTAATTCCAGAGTGAAAACCCTCATTTTACAAGGGCCATTTTGTCATGCAGTTCAGTTTCCCAGAGAGCATATACACTCAACCAAAAAAGAAAGTCCCCCCTTCCAATACTTTTTTGTCTAAGTCAAAAACTACTGAGCACATCTCGCTTAAATAACAACTAATCAGTACAGAAATTCATTAGCAATCCAGCCATACCTTTTTGGCCCAAAACGGTAACAATGGATACAAATTTATGCAATTTATGACAAATGATATCGAAAACAGTTGCACTTTTGTATACGTGCATGTTGCGGTTCAAACTCACCTTGCAAGTGAACAAAAGTGCAACTTTTTTCGGTACTACTCCCCTCCCCACCCCCAACCCACACCCCCTGAATTCTGACCCCCACCCTCTTCAGACCAAACCCCCATTAACAGTTGTGGCAATAAGTTAGCCTTTCCAAAACTACTTGGGTCGTTTTGTACTTAGTTCATAACACCTTTACCTTTCATATTCTTCTTTGGTTTGGCATGAATCTGGAATGCCAGTCTGAACCTGAGGTTACACGCCCAATTATCCATTCCTTGTCAACCTTTCCCCACAGAGACTGTTGTGCTTTACCCCTGCCGATCGGCTTACTGCGACGCAAGCTCTGGCCCATGGCTACTTTCGGGACGACACCGCCAGTCCCTCCTCTGCATCATCTGAGGCATCCAGCAGCTCACAGTCCTCAGCGGAAGGTGACAGCCAAGGTTCTAATCCTGAATTGGTGTGTCGGTAGCTGGTAGAATTGTTCTACGTAGAGGAGGGGTTTAACTGTTGTGTATTTTAATTGTACTGGGGGTTGCTATAACCAGGCTTGATTCCTGTTGTAAGCAAGATCGGTCGCGTACTTTACATGAAAGCCAATCGAGCTTCATGGCACCAGCAAGTGTGTAGTTTCAATGTGACGCTTGCCCTTACCATAACATTTGATTTGGACTTAAAGTTCTGTGTGAACTGGCTTGTACTTGTTCTGGCTTGGATGATGAGTGTTCCTTGTTTCAATTTGTTTGTTTGTTTTTCAGTTTGTGTGGTGCTTTGTGGGTGTGGAGTGGCTTGTTGGTTTTTTTTTATATAATTCAAGCAGATTTATCTTTTAAACATCTGTGTGAAATTGATTTTTGCAACAAATGCAAAACTAAAATCAACTTATGCAGAAATCAAAGTCTTCCAGTAAAGTGATTATAAAATATTGACACTAAAAAACTTAACAAAATGGACCAAAATACGATAATATTTTTGTTGAAAGAGAAATTATTTTTTATGTATTTTGAAAAAAGTATATAAATGCTCAGGCTTCCAATGGGACACAAAAATCTACAAGTGAGATGGTGTTTTGACCAAAAAAAAAGAGTACTACCATTTTGATATAATTGTTTGTCTGTAAATATAAGTTTTTATACCTATGGACCAAAAAAATCACTTTAAATGTGCAAGAATGTCTGAAGTTAAAACAGGTAATTTTAATGAAACTCAGTTGTAGAAAGAGCTTCTGTTTCCAAACACAATATTTGTTTTAGAAACCAATACAGTAGCGACAGTGTTAAGGCCTGTGACGTCACGGCAATATTTCGTGCTGCGAATTTGAAAAATTGAGCACATTTCAACTGGCAAATTTGGCAGTGAATGTTTCCTGGCGTCCAATTCTTGCATAATTTGTGGAAGTAAGAACAGGCCTGTAGAACCAATCTTGTGACTTGTCATTTTTTCCTTAAAAGTAAATGTTTTCCAGATACATGTATTAGCAAACAATATGTTTAACCTGTTTATATATCCTTCACACAATACTATGCAACAATATATCCGTCCAAGCTTGTTGTATTCTCAAAAGTTTAATCGTGCATTGTAACACGGACTGCGGAGCAAATGCGAGCAGAAATGGTTTCAAAGATATTTTTGTATCCTTTGAAGAGCATACCGTTATTTTTGATACAATACTTTACTGTGATAGTTGATAGTCTATTGAACACACCTGTGGGCCAGTTTTGTGGAGCTGCCAATTAAAGCACAGAATTGCCATCTACAGCAAATATTTGCGTACCTAAAACAGGTATTTATATAATATTGAATGGCTTTGAAGAGGATACAAGGATATATTGCACGAACTACAACAATATTGCATGAGTCGAAAACGAGTGCAATATTGTTACATGTATAGTGAGTGCAACACATTCTTGTAACCCCTGAAAAAAAGGCATTCAATAGTATTAGTTATATCAGGCTGACTTTGTTCCAAAAGAGATGCATTTCAGGACACTGTCTTTATTTCTCAAATTTTGTTGAATATTCTTCATATTCTGAATATGCAGTCTCGAACCTCCAGTTCTTGGTGTTGGACCTCAAGGTCTTAGTCTTGAACCTCCAAGGTCTCAGTTTCAAACCTCCAGGTCTCAGTCTCAGACCTCCAGGTCTCAGTGTCAGACCTCCATGTCTTGGTCTCAGACCTCCAGGTCTCGGTGTCAGACCTCCAGGTCTCGGTCTCAGACCTCCAGGTCTCGGTGTCAGACCTCCAGGTCTCAGTCTCAGACCTCCAGGTCTCGGTGTCAGACCTCCAGGTCTCGGTGTCAGACCTCCAGGTCTCGGTCTCAGACCTCCAGGTCTCGGTGTCAGACCTCCAGGTCTCGGTCTCAGACCTCCAGGTCTCGGTGTCAGACCTCCAGGTCTCGGTCTCAGACCTCCAGGTCTCGGTCTCAGACCTCCAGGTCTCGGTGTCAGACCTCCAGGTCTCGGTCTCAGACCTCCAGGTCTCGGTGTCAGACCTCCAGGTCTCAGTCTCAGACCTCCAGGTCTCGGTGTCAGACCTCCAGGTCTCGGTCTCAGACCTCCAGGTCTCGGTCTCAGACCTCCAGGACTCATTCTTGGACCTCCAGGTCTCCGTCTCAGACCTAGAGGTCTCACTCTCGGATCTCCATGATTCCTCTGAGATCTCCAGGTCTTGGTCTTCAACCTCCAGAACTTGATAGTTTCAGTCTTAGACACCCTCCAGGTCTCGGTCTCAGACCTCCTGGTCTCGGACCTCCAGGTATTGGTCTCGGACATCCAAGGTCTCGGTACTCCAGGTCTCTGTCATAGACCTCCAGGTCTGGTCTCTGACTACCAGGTCTTAGACCTCCAGTACTGATATCTTTGGCTTTGCTTTAACATTTTGAAACCCTACCTACTTTTGTGTAAAGTGCAAATACTGAAGGTGCTGTGCAACATATATCCAGCTTTGTATTCAAACTAAGTTGTAGCAAAATCTCTTTGGAAAAACTAACAACAGGAATTCCGTCCATGTTGTCATGTTTCATCACAGCCGTGTGAATTCAAATACCAAAAGAAATCGCATGTCTTTACCAACTACTTGTTCAAAAAAATTCAATGAGAAAAAAAGCAACGTGCATTATATTATGGATAGTACTGAGATCTGGTTTAATATAAAATAACAGTACTTTTCCTTAAAGTTTTTCTTCAGTTTTTAATTGGCAGGATCCGAGAACATTTGTGATACAATCTGTGAAAACTCTTCTTGTGTTTATTACATAAAATCTGAGAATGTGTTCTTTCCACAACAGGTTTTATCCTTCTTCTTTTTTTTTACAAACCACAACATCAAAAATTATGAGCTTAAACAAGATTTTGAAGTGGGTCTTATAAGTTATATTGAAACAGTACATTCAGTGGTCATTTTCTTGAGAAACTTGCCATTTTACTGTTGAAGGTTTAGCGGATTACATCATTTCACTCACATCATTTCACTTAAACTTTCGTACCCGTGATTTTGTGATTATTTTACTAGGATTTTTATCAATATGCATGAATGCGTTTCAGATTTATATAAGCATTGATAATCGCAATCCATGACGGTTTAAGTCATAGGACATTGGTGCTACAAGTGCATTGGCACTGTTGTAATTTTTTCTCCAGAAACCCTGTATTTTCTAACATTTCAGAACTTTGGCAGAGGTGAAAAGACCCGCGTACACCCTCAACTGCAAGAGTTATTGTAAGAACAATTTTATTGCACTGTAATGGACATTACTTTCTGTAGATGTGAAATAAGAAAGTAATTGTAAAAACAAAAATTCTTGAAATTTGATCATGATGTACATGTATATGCAAGTATTTTTTATGACGACGACGGATTCCAATTTCAGGTATTCAAACAAAGGTGAAATGAGCAATGCAAATGTACTTAAGGCTACTTGAGTCCGTATGAAAACCGTACTTAACTGCTAACTGCCTACGCATTCTTGGTAGGAATCTTTCTGAATGCTGCAGACTTTTTTTCCAGCTATAATAAACAGGGTTACTAAGAATCTAGTCATGTTTCGTCATGTCACGGTTTGTCATGTACTTCATGTCAGTTGAAAATGGATGAGCAAAGATTTTTTTGTCACAATTTTAAATGAACAAAGCCATCAAAATCTGATTTTGTATCTGTTTTGAAAAAAAATGCAGTGTTTTTGCTTCAAAAGGAGGTTTTGTGTTTTCCCCAAGATTGGAAGCCATTGGCCATACTTAGTTTGCAAGAAGTATTGCAGTGTTTTGTTTGTTGATGCTAGTCATGAAATTTCCGATTCATGAAAAAGTATATACATTAATTTGTTGTCTGTACTTGAGGCTTTGTTTTAATACCGTTGGTGCCTTGTAAGTGTTTCTTAATTTGGTGTTTTGTGTTTCAGCTGGAAAGAAACCGGTTTTATTTTAGTTCTTAGAAATGTGTTATCATTCAGTATGTGGTGCAAGTGTGAGATTGCCCTTGCTAAAAAGTATTTTGTCCTCCCTGGTATTCTGTAAGTTTTGCCTAATACTCTTGTTGGAATACCCTGGGGCTTGTAACAGTGGAAGTATTCATGAACTATTGGTGTATTACATTTCTCCTCAACCTTAAATTACTAATTCATAAATACCTGACACAGTTAACCAATTCCGTTTAGTCGAGTGCCCATCATGTGGGTGGTTTTAATCGTGCGGTAAAAACACCACTGCGTTAAGCGCTACATCGCGCAGCACGCGCCGCGTGCGCCGATTTCCATATAAGGAGATTTGTTAGCACTATGCGCATGAGGCATGTACCATAGACATGTTTTATAAAACATGAAGTAAAATTGTTGAACAAAATTGTTGGAAATTTGTCAAATTTTGACTTGTTTGTCTGATTTTTTTTATTGCCGGTGCATATGCGTGAAAAATAGGGGCAAAAGTAAAAACAGTACCTTATTTTCATGTGCATATTTTATACATACAAAATTTGTTTCATATAATAGATTAGTGTCTGTAATTTTGTAATTTTTTGTTCAAGATAGTCTAGTACTGCACATGTAAGAATTTAATTTTGATATTTAGTTTTTTAATTCAATATACTGCAAGAGCAGTGGTCTTTTGTAATAAGCAGTTAGTATTGACATTTTTTAAATTTAATATGACACAATGCAGGGGAAAGTAATTCAAATGTATAAAAGTAAGGCCTGCCAAAAAGAGCAAGGCTGTTTAATTCCAGTCCAACATTAAACAAAATCTTCAGTCTATAAGTCAATTTTGTATTCAATTTGAGGTTCAAAATTATCCATGCATATTGTTATGTCGCGGCTGGAGATTAGGCCAAAAAAAAAATAAGTCGGTCTCTGGTCAGCGCGCGCGTCGATTTTAATCATGCGCGTCAATCTTTTTTTTCCCAAAATGTTCCGCGGTAGCTCCAACAGCGCCCTCTATTGCCGCACCTCCTCAATTTTTTTTTACCAAAGAGCACCAAGGAATGGGAAATTGCACCAAGGCAAATGATCGAGAGCACCAAGGCAAATTATGGAGGACACCAATGTACATGAGGACACCAAAAAACCAAAATAGTACCCCACCTTGTATGCACAATCCAAGCTTGAAAAAAAAAAAAAAAAAGCCGCGTCAATTCCGGAACTTTGGTCTGACCAGAGACCGAATTTTTTTTTTTTGGCCTTATGTGAAAAATTTTCAAGAATGTAAGGACTTAAAATGCTTTTATCTTTTATCTTGATAGCAGTTAATAAACGATAGACGTATGATGTCAACCAGGCTTTTGTAGAATAGCACAATAGAGAGGTCTGAAAGGGCCATCTAGAACATTTTCAAAATTTTGAGTTGGTAAAAGGAATTACAAGACAAGATTATGCATCTCCAGATTTTTTTTTTTATTTGTCAAATTATCAGGATTGGCGTTGGTCATCCCTCTCAATGCCTATTATGTGTTTCAATTTACACAATTTCTTGGAAGATTGTTTTCTTTCATTGTTGTATCTTCTGCCCGCCAGGATTAGGATTGTTTCTGAGAACAATTTTATGCATAATTGCAGCCTAATACTTATCTTATGTGAATTGGAATTTGAGTTACCGTTTTACCATTTTACCCAAGTTAAACCAATGCCAATTCTGTATGAAGACAAGATGAGTTGCTCTTTTCAGTTTTTGTCTGTAATTTTGAAGCTTGAATTCCTGGAAAGAATGACTCACTGCGGAGCTCTGCTGATATATTGCTTCAGCACAGATAACCATAAGGATCTCATGAGCATACATTTATATCAGTTGGCAAGCCCCTATTTTTCTGAAACCCATCTTTGCTTAATGGTTGCTCATGATGTTCATTGTGTTATTATGCATGATTCCATTCAGTCGACAACTATTCCTACATGTACTTAATTCATGTGTTGTTTATTATATATTTTTTTCATGCAGAATCTTTTGATTATTTTAACGGCAAAATTATATTTTCAACTTTGAAGATGAAGAATTTGTACCAAGAAGCTTGAAAAAAATATTTTTCAATAAAAATTTGTACGTTTTCATAAAAGTATGTTTTGATCTGTCAATTTTATTTCTTATATGAGGGGCAACGGTGATGCAATTTGTAATTTTTGGCGGTTTCAGACCGAGCAAAACTTTATACAAATTTCATAAAACCTTTTAAAAGGTCTACTGCCAAATAATGTGAATAGGCACAAGCAGCAATAACGGCGGACACCTAATGTTGTTCAGCAAATGTTCGATTCTTACTCATTTTTGGGGAGATTTGCTTGTGTTTCGATGGAATTAAAACGATTCCCAACATTGTTTCTTAAAAAAAAACACATTTGAATTTACATGTATTTGCAGTTTACAGAGTGGATCATGACAAACCGAAGAACTGCTAAATATTTACTACTTGTATTCTTCCTGTGAGTATATGTACATGTACTCAATCTTTTTTTATCAGCCGTGAAGCTGGATTTTATTATATTGATTTCCCAAATAGGTTTTTTTCATCCATCGTGAAGCAGAGCACATAACTCGAGGTGAGAAGATCTGACGTAAACCTCTGCAGGTTAAATTATGCACAAATGGGTCGAACGGTGCAGTGGGGACTAGCACGCAGAGAAAATCATAGAAATAAGGATAATCTTTTCATTTCTTCCATTGTCATCATTTAAACCATTAACTAGTGAATTTTTCTACCCTTTTACTGGAAATGGAATTTCATTTCTGCCTCTTCAATATGCTAATTGGGTTAATATTAATTTATCACAAGTTCTAGTTCCTCTTTCAGGTCCTAACTTGTGTTTTAAAAAGAAAGACCACCTACAGCCAGAAAAAAAACTATCAGTTGGAAACTGATACGAGAACTAAATAGAACAAAAACACTCGTTAAAACCCAGAAAAGAAACTATCAGTTGGAAACTGATACGAGAACTAAAGAGAACAAAAACACTCGTTAAAACCCATGGACTTAAAAAGACCGGTGAGTTGGCCGGAATGGAACCTGGGTTAATCAAGTAATTGGAGGAAAAGAATGAACTACTAAACAAACTTTCACATTCTCACCAACGCACAAAATCTGGCAATAACGGAAGACCGAATTGTTCCTGGACGTACTTTATTTTTACATGTGCGTATATTCATCATGAAATTGAATTTAATATTATACTCTGGACTTTGCTAACACTAGAAACACACTGCATGAGCAGAAATGCAATTTGTTTCAAGGTGTTAATAAAATCACTAACTTTTTTCAAAAATATCATTTACAACTAAAAAACTTATAAAAATAATGATGTCTAATGAATGACTATTGAATGATCAATAACGTTAACACTGATCAAAGGTTGTTTTTTTCAACAATAACATTTAAAACCCTGTCAAGGTGGAATATATACATGTTTGATCTGTCCTGATAACTCAGATAAACATTTTTTCTTGCCATATATCAGAATCACTCCACAAAATGACCTATAACCAATCTACATTGTAGCACCTTTACCGCAGTGACACTGTACATACAGGGCGAGTTGACCATGACTGATTGAGTGTACGGTCAACTGAATAATAAAGGACCCATTTCTTATCTGTGCGGCTGTTTCCTGTGAAATGACCAAGAAGACACCACCAAATGTAGCACAACTCACTAGCACTGACTAGGACACTGATATAAAATGGACAGGATTTAAATTTATTAAGTGCATCATATTCATGATCTGTAAATTAAACATGCGAACATCAATTTTTCAGAATCTAGAGTGCATCAGGATAGCTCCATTGTTAAACAAAGTTCCCCCACCAACAAAAAAAGACAAGCATTTGCCTACACTGTTTCATATTGTAACATTTATCATCAGTATTATAACATCATCAATTTCCTTTCAATATACACTTTGATTTTTAATGGAATTTGTGGGGAGAGATAGAGATTTTGAAATAGGGTTTTGCCCATCTTTGGAAAAACCCATTTTCAAAATCGTATACTGTCATTACAAGTGTGCTTCATCCTCGGCCACAGTTAACACTGATTTAATCAAGTCCATGCAAATAAACTTTTGCAATTACAATTTGACAGAACAAAGAGCTATTAGGCCCCCCAAAAAAGTCTCCGGTTTCTGGTATGGAGTTTGCACAAAAACGGTGCAGGGACGCGGCTTTTTTTTTTTTTACCTGTTTTTTTTTGGCTTCAAATGTCGGCTGATGACTGCAAATGGTGCCCGACTAAACTTAGTGCAAATATATGGGAGTCCGAAGAGGACTCTCCGGACCTGTTTTTTGTGCTTCAAATGTCGGCTGATGACTGCAAATGGTGCCCGACTAAACCTAGTGCAAATATATGGGAGTCCGGAGAGGCCACATAAAGCTTATTCTCGATCATAACCCCATCTAAAAACACGTTAAAATTGTGCAGCAGCAGGATTCCAGTCAAACCAGTGAGTTTGGCGGTTTTGAGACATCTTTTATTGAAAAAAAAACTTTTTCATTTTGCCGACGCGCATGGCTACGGCAACGCGCGCGCATACCAGAAACTCTTTTTTTTGGGCCTTAATGGTATAATACTCTTTTACAAATAAAATTCAAAAATACTTCAAGAGGAATCACATGTTACTACACTATATGAACAAGCAACTCTCATTATGTAATTCATAAGATGGAATATGCTTTGCGGTGGTGTAAATTCAAAATTGGCCCTTCACAATATTCCCTGCCAATTAAAATAAAAAATTCTTACCCACCTTTAAGAAAATAAACTATAGACAAACCTTGTCTAGGTCTTGTAGGCTTACTTGTTGCAACTTACACACATCATCATTTTGGGTATCTATAAGCTTTCATTAAAACCCAAATGCCTATGACCTCCATATAATTATCATTTACCATTTTCTCTGCAAGTAGAGTATAAAAAAGGAATGATTGTGGTTAGTTAGTGTGGTACATTGGTCTCAATTCACCTTCATTCGTGTGTTTCATCTCTTTTTAATTCATAAACTAGAAAAAAAATCTTGTACATGAAAAAAAAAAATGTTTTATTACAGCACACACTAACTCTCCAACAAATATATTCATGGAGATACATGAACATGATTTAAAGATAAACTACAAAAAATCAAATTTATTAACACAAGAATGCTGATCTCAGCACTTAGAATTTGGCAGTGAAAACCAGCAGCCAATTTCATGAAGTTGCTGAGCAGAAAAATGTGCTTAGCACGGAAAGAATATTGCTTACAAAATAAAATAGGTTACCAACCGAAATGCCATGCGAGTTATACTAATTATGACTGGTTCTTATATGATTTTTTTCTTAGTCGAGTCCATCACAAGTCCCTGCAAGTCCATCACAAGCCCCTGCAAGTCCATCACAAGTTCTCCAGTCCCAATTCAACTCACAAGCTATTCAAAGAGCTTTGACAAAGGCATACCTGTGTTATTGTTCATCCACTGTTACTTGGGACTGGACATGGGACTGGACTTGTGATGGACCCAACTACATTATATCCCTTTCAGCAATGTTCTCTCAATAGTAGTTTTATGAAATTGGGCCTTGGGTCACTCCAAAGATATAATATAATCATCTATCTCCGTCACCCTGTGATGTAGTTATCATAAATTTAAACAATACAACATAATACTATTACCACATATATTTATCAATACTTTGTAATATTCCCCCAGCTCAGAATTTTCCAAAAAGTTGACAAAGTCACTTGAACATTATAAGATGGAATTTTGCGTCGGGGTGATATAAGTCAAATTAGGTTTTGCCCTTCAAAGCAGGAGGTCGTGGGTTCGAGTCCCACCCGAGTGATTTTTTCCAACTTTCACTCGGGAGGTAACACACTGAGTATACAGTGTTTAAAAACGTCGGTGAAGGGCAAAACCTAATTTGACTTATATCACCCCGACGCAAAATTCCATCTTATAATAGTTTATGCGGTACCCGCTGCTATGTACATCAGATTCGAACCGGCCAACCGATCCCGTTAGCTCGGTGGTCGAGTGGTAAGACATCTGCACTAGAAAGCAGGAGGTCGTGGGTTCGAGTCCCACCCGAGTGATTTTTTCCAACTTTCACTCGGGAGGTAACACACTGAGTATACAGTGTTTAAAAACGTCGGTGAAGGGCAAAACCTAATTTGACTCACTTGAACATCTTTCGTAATGTTTATCAAAATAACACAAAATATAACCTCGGTATAAAATCTTGACAAACGTGGCTATGAGTGGAGCTGATGCTCCATAAATTTTTTTTCTGCATTTAATATGCACTCCAAAATATAGAGAACCCGAGGTTTAAAAAAAAACAACTTTAAAATGGTTGAAGTCCCCCCTGAATTTTTAGACAGCATGCTTTTCACATTTGGTTTTCATTTTCGTGTAGATTTACATGTACAATCTAAACGTATCACAACCTGCAATGCATCACTGTACTTCATGCACATAGTATGAACCCTGTATCTCTGTTCCTTTTTTTCACACAGAAAAAAAACCCTTTTTTTCAAAATATTTAGTTTACAAATTTGTCAAAAAAAGAAAAAAATATTATGAAATCAATACAAACCTTCATGAGCGCAGCATTTCGTTTTTTTTCAGGGAATGGACACATATTTAGTGATGTAAAATCGTCGGTAGCTTTTTGAATACCAGAAGAGCGCGAAAGACCATTTCCAAGTCATGAATACCCAAACAGCTGTGACGTAGTAACCATGGTGAGGTCCGTTCAGTGGCATAACAGCTGCAAAACAGAAATGAAATTTGATATCTTTATTGAGTAACTTTATATTAATAATTCATTCCATCCTTCAGTGTGAAAGAACTGAAAAATAACATCACTATTGTAATTTAAAAATCTATACAAAAAAACACATAATTTGTTAGTTGTTGTATTTATTATAACCGGGTATGAAAAAAATTGAGCAATGCCAAGTAGTATGTTGAAATGCTCAGAAAACCCAATCTTTTTTGTTTTATCTACATGTCTTGTTGATTCAAATAAAACGATTGAACTTATATTTATTTACACTTTTTATTTCACTTTACTCACATTGGTTTTGTACGATTGCTAAGACAATGTAGGTGATGAATGCAGGTATCGTTCCGAGTTGTACAAAGAATCCAAGAATGATGGGCAGTTTCAGACGATTCAACCAGTCGTCATGGTTTCCCTTCAGATGCTGAATGTGGACGATAAGGGTAAAAACAGCAAAGATTCCTGCAATCAAAACAAGATGTTGACATCAATTCAAAATTCAATATCCACAACTCAACACAAAAATGGTACACCACTCTGGGAAAAGTGTCATCACATGGAAAATAATATTTCCCCATCCCTAATTTTCTAGCCTGTTTTTTTTTCTATTTTTACAAAACCTTCCTAGCCCCACTAGTGTGGCCGCGATATTGCTGCGCTGTATCTCTGGCCACATGCCAGGTTCTCCAGTACTAGTACAGCGCAGCAATACTGAGGCCACACAAAAACCTTCCCTACATAGGCCTATAACTTAGCCTTGAAATTTGAATAATTCTTAACAAGAATAATTATTCAAAATCATTGATTTGAGTTTTTTCCTCGACGAATTGGTTCAGCTATTATTTTGGTAGTTGATATCACTGTCTTTTGAAGTGGACATCAACATCTTTTGTGGTGGACATCAACATCTCTTGTAGTGGATATCAATATCTTTCCAGTGATTGTTAATTTTGGCCTGCCCTGTCCAGCTGTATTCAAGTGCTGCATCCCCGAGTTGGCAATTGTTTAATACTCCGTCAAAATGATTCACCGTCATCCAACTTCCAGGAAAAAGCATCTCCTTTTCTCCATACTCACCACTTGCCAATCCCCAACACGCGATGTGATAATTCCTGAAATCCGCCACGGCCAAAAACACGAGAAGGACCAGCACACCGAGCGAGATACCGGTCACGGCCAGGCCGACCCTGCACCGCATCGCCGTGGGAGAGGGCTCCATTGCGGCCGCTTGTTTATGCGTTGACCCGCTGGAAAAATGCGGACTCAGAGCGGCAGGGACAACCGTGTTGTCCTTGAGCTCTGGTGATGATGTTGTGGCCGCATCATCGGGAGCTGAAGAAAGATGACTCATCTTACTTATGAATGAGTGAGCGGAGGGAAAAAGGTCTTGGATGTTTAAATTATTATAATTTACTTGGAAAATTATAAAACAAATGCCACCTACGATCGAGCTCGTTGATGTTTTGTGTGTAATTTATACGTTATGCAAGCGTGACTAGCGCCCTCTTTAGTCAGAAGTTTTACCGTTTTTCCGCCAACTTTTTACAAACATTTTGGCTGGATGGATATGGAGATCACGGCTGGATTATTTATGACTTAGGAGGGGAAGAGTATTTTCTTCAGGCATCTTCTATTTTCCTCCTTCCCCCCCCTCCTTTTGAGGGTCGATCGGTGGGGGCGGATCCGGATGCACCAATGTTGTGAACCAGACAAGGGAAATCCGGGGGCGGGGGGGGGGGCATGCTCCCCCCCCCCCAACGAACCCATTTTTTTTTTTTTTTTAAGTGACGTCGCAATGAAGGCAGGCACTGCTTACACCACCATCTTTTCCAAAAAAAAAATTGGTTAAAGTGGTCAGAAATTGCCTCAAAAAGCCAGTTTCCTTGATCGAATCCCCAAATCTTCTTGGGGGGGGGGGGGGGGGTCGGGCGGGCGTCGGGTCGTGAGGGGGTTTGGAATTACGAATATTTTGTGTGATGTTATTTATAACTTTTAATGATAAGCAGCTATATTCCCTTAAATTTATAATTTCTTAATAGGCGACTGCAGCGATCATCATAGGTTCGCCTCTTTCGTTGCCATATACGGCCACCGTAGTCTCGATTTGGTATTTATTCACATGGAAAATATCTGAGATAACCCAATTTGAAAATTATTTGGCGATTCTCGTCCTAATTTTAATAGGTTGATCGAAAAATAAAATTCATTGAGGAACCTTAAGCCCCACTAGTCTTGGTTTCTCATTTCTCTGGAACTCAAGCTGTGACTGATTTTTTAGGCTGAAGACAAAAACGTGCAAATACAAGAAACTTTAACGTGCCTTTTTGGTCTGAAATGCGAAGTTGTTCAATACAAAACATCTTGCAATTCTCCACCCGAAATATTTAATCCCCCGGCCCCCCTCCCCATGTTATGAAGATCGCTTTTTATTAGCCCGGGTTCGTGTCTGAACTTCACAAGAGGGCGCTGTTATCCCACGCGTTTTCTGCACGCACGCGCGCTTCAATTCAATGCATGTAGGCCTAGTTGCTGTCCACAGAAGACGATTTTGGTAAGTTCCTGGTCAAAATAAATGGTCCGTTTCACGTTTTTACTGCATGATATTGTGAAATTTCTTTGTTCAACATTTACTCAATCCATCAGTGTTTGTAAATATTGCAGAAATATGTTGATGTGGTCGCTCTCATGATTTAAATTTTGCACGGATATCGGGTGTCGATCAGAGACCTGAAAGTTAAAAAAAAAATTAGTCAACTCGACCGTTTGCCAACTCGACCGCTGTGCATCTTTCTGGAAAGTCAAGTCGGTGTACAACTTTCCCATTGCTTGGCATCAGTGGAAAACAGTATTATTTACTGATCTGGGAAAAATTCTGCCAACCGGACACCACTTACCTGCCGCCAAACATCCAAATTTTCACCTTACCTTGTGATTTCAAGTTCAACCAAGAGGAATCCAGGAAAGAGTGGACATGCGAAAAAAAATTGGTAAAAATGTGTTTTTGGAGCACATTTTGCATGCACATGTAGTGCAGATCTGAGTTGAAGCAGCCGGTCAAAACTGATTGAAGGGAGCTACCGATTGAAGTGTCTGGAACAGCGGTACGTTATACGCATGACATCGATAACCATGACGTCGCATGAGACGTCGCATGAGCCGGCCAATGATAGTGCAATACGTCATTATGAATATTTATTTTCTCATGAATATTTAGTTTATTTCAGTGGATATTTCAAATACGTCCAAAGATTGATCATTGCAACAGCGATCGTGCGCGGCCTAGCGGTTAAGAGACTCGTGTATCAAGCAAGCGTCCGAGGTTCGAATCTCGATGAAGTGAGCGACTGATTGATAAATAGAAATTAAGGAAAGGAGGGCATGGAGGGGGTGAGAGTAGAGGAGGGAAAGTGGAGGGAATAACCATAAAAGAGGTAACTTTTGGCACTAGAAAATTAATTGAAAAAAGTGGTGTCCGGTTGGCAGAATTTTTCCCTAATCTGATTTTACCCATCCCAGGGTAAACAAGTCAAGAATAAATGCAGTAATTATCTTAAAAACCAGGAAAGTATTCACCTTCAATCATGTGACCTTGAAAATTGGTTTATTTTGCGAGCTTTGAAGTATTTGTTTTCTTGCAATACAAATGAATATCTCTTTTTTCTGTTCTCATTTCCTTAGATTCTTCTGTGCCAAGATGGTGGCTTCAGCTGCGAAGCATCGACCGCGATGCTTCTTTGACATCACTATCAATGGATCTCTGGGTAAGATCCTTTCTTCATTACACTCTGACACATTTTGTGCGTAGCACACAATTGACCGATGCAACAAGCCCCCCCCCCCCCTCATGTTTTGACCAAGATAAATGTCTCACAAAAATCTGACGTACTTGTGTACATGACAATGCACGGCTTGAACATGCAGTATGGCATTGGAAATGTGCCTGTCTTGATGCCAACATGTAAAGTTCAATTAACCCTGACCCTCCTCGATCCTCCAAAGTCCTCCGGGCAGTTTGGAGGATTTTGGAGGATTGAGGATGAGTGTAGGATACAATTTTAGACCTTTTGGAGGAGTGTGGAGGATTGAGATTGAATGCACATTCAGTACCGGTTGATTTTGGAGGATTGAGGATGAATGGTGTTTGAAGAAGAAGAGGATTTTGGAGGATTGAGGAGGATTTTGGAGGATTGAGGAGGATTGAGGATGAACACATTTTGAGAGGCAGGACTGTCAGAGGATTGTGAAGGATTGAGGCAGTGGGTATCCTTCATTTGAACACTTGTGCAAAATTTTGGAGGATTGAGGATGGCTCCTAGCAAAAAGGGCCCGGGGGGTTAGGGTCAATTAATGGATCAGGACAGTCAATAAGGCCAGAATTGAAATAAAATTGATATCTCTGCTTTGACTTATTCCAAAATTGCCTAAAATTGTCACTTTTTCTTGTATTTTTGCTACAATCTATTATTTGATAATGATATATACTTGGCATTGAAATATAAACACCTAACTTGCTGGTAAGTTGGAGTAAAGGAAATTTTAAAAAACGTGAATGATTGGAATATCAAATGTACCTCGATAATGTTTAAAATCTTTTCCTTTTTTTTGTAAATTCACCTTTCACAATAATCATCCATTATTTGTAATTTGTAACACAGCTGGACGTGTGACCTTTGAACTCTACACGGATATCTGCCCCCTGACGTGTGAGAATTTCCGAGCCCTCTGTACTGGTAAGGGTGTAATGAATTTTGAACAAATTGAAAAGCATTCTTTTTCTACTCAAACCCTAAGCAGTGTGGATTAAATAGACCCAAAATGACAATCTATAGAGTGGTAGGGCTAACTACATGCTAGCCCAGGTTGGACGACGTCTTTATTGCATTACGACTGACGTCCAGGGTATAAATTGTACCACCATAGCGAACAAAATTATAACACATTTTTGTTCGTATTTTTACCTGACGGAGGAAGCTGAAATTTCGCTTACATATTACTTGTGTCCAGAATTGTACCTGCGCTGGGTTTAGAAAAGGCAAATATGTCCGTGGGCGGCGTGTTTACCGAAAATAACCAGTTAACCCGCAAGTTCTATGCTTTTGTTGAAAATATTTTTCAGTACGAACTCTCCGCGTGAAGACGTACACGCGCGTGCCGTTTTCTGCCGCTTGCTGCCGTGGCGGCAGCGTGCTAGGTGTACATGCACGCGCGCGCGTAATCTTCACGTGGGGAGGTCGTACTGAAAATGTTTTCAATAAAAACGTGGGGTTGCGGTTTATTTTCGGTAAACACGCCGCCCGCTGACATATTTGCTTTTAAACCCAGCGCAGGTACAATTCTGGACACAAGGAATATGTAAGGGAAATTTCAGCTTCCTCCGTCGGGTAAAGGTATGCAAAAAATGTGTTATAATTTTTTTTCGCTATGGCAGGAGAGATTCATACCCTGGACTCCGTTGCGTGTACACAACGGAGTCCAACCTGGCTAACTACATGCCAGAAATACCTGCAGTGGAAACTTAGGTTATTGAACATGAAGTCACTCATAAAACGCATGTAGACAAAATGTACTTCCATATTTTTTTCTGCCGTTAACAGCTTTGGTATGCAGTGATATCAAAATCAGTGTGTCAAATTCCTTTACTTAATTGACTTTTAGTATTGATTTCATCATGTTTGACCTATAAATGAAACAAACACCCAATAAAATGCACTCCCCAAAACGTAGAAATACCAAAAATATGAAGTTGTGCCTTTTACACGGAATGTATATTCTTTTCACAAAATGGTAACAATTGTGCCGAAGTTTGCGAAACACTTACACATGATGCGCGTGGCCAAAACATACACAGTGGCGTTGGAGAAGCGCATGTGCAGCTTCACCCATGTGCGATTAGGCACGACTTGTGGCCAAATCCGTAACTGTCCATCCGGTCAGAAACTCAAAAAGGTGGAACTGCAATTCAACAGATGTGCAAATTTTAGATTGTTGTTGTTGTGTGAATTGCAGGTGAGAAGGGTATCGGCAAGACAACAGAGAAACCCTTACACTATAAGGGCACACCCATCCACCGCGTTGTCAAAGACTTCATCATACAAGGAGGCGATTTCAGTGCAGGTAAGCACCGTCTGTGGTATAAGGAGGAAGTGATACATAGGGGTGAAAGTGGCCTAGTGGTTAGGGTTCGGACTCATGATCAGAGGGTCAGGGTTTCGAATCCAGATTCTGGTCATATGTTGTGTCCTTGGGCAAGCCACTTCACCCTCACTTGCCTCTCTCCACCCAAGAATATAAATAGGTATCAGCATTAGCCGGCCAGTAAGCTGCGATGGAGGGAGGGAATAGAAATATTCCCAGTTGTTTCATGCTACTGAAACCAGAAATAAACACCGGCCTGATGGGCCACATTGGCTTGTGACAGGCTTTTTTTTTTTTTAACTTGATTGTAGCTTATTTTGATAAGATACAAAGCACTGCAGATTGTTAATGACTCTTCAGAAAACTTATTACAAAGAAAAGGATAAATCATGCCCATATCAGTGGACTTTGACACCTACATACCACGTGGCAAAATATGAAATATTTTTTCCAGTATTTTCTGAAATAGAAATGTGGAAAATTGTTACCTCTACATTGTTCTCGTCTTGAATTTAACAAGGAATACTCGGTGAGGATGGAGATAATATTTGCCATGAAATATGATTTATCCAAGAAAAATGGAAATCAAACTTGGCAAACTTTTATTCAGCAATTTGTTTTACAAAGATTATTCATCTTGCTTTCTTGACAGGAAATGGAACAGGGGGAGAATCCATCTATGGTGGTACATTTGGCGGTGAGTTACCCTTGCTGGGGAAGTACCTGTTTACTCTAATTTTAGACTCTTATATATGTTTGCCTCAGCGGTGTGCAGTTTTGATAACGTGAGTAAACCGTTCTATCTGCAAAATGCAGAAGAGTAAATATCTGCCTTTAGATGTGATACATAACATTTGAGGGTTCCCATGATTGTACCTAAAGATGCATGAATAACTTTTTGTCCTAAAAGTAAATAAGCGCCCTCTCTTGTTCACGCACAGAGCTCATAAGAGACACAGTTCATGTCTTAACCCTAACTCCCTACTGTCTTTTACTAAGTACTGGGCCAAGTCCGCCAAAATCCATCAATCACACTGCTTCCAATGCATGCTTTGTTTTAGGCCTCCAGGCCCAAGTCCATCATACTCCATCAATATTTAGTCACACCAGGCCTGCAGGACCAAGTCCCCCAAAACCCACCAAAAAAAGGGGGATGGATTTTGATGGAGTTGGGACGGTTAGGGTTAAACTACATATGTACATCTTAAGTGCATTATGAATGAAAAACTGACTCATGTGCATTATGGTTAGTGGCTATACTAATACATGGTTGTTACAACCACTGACCGTAATGCACCTGAGTAATTTTTCATTAGAAAGCGCTTAAAATGTACATGTAGTTTAAAGACATCACCTGTGTCTCTTATGGGCTCCTTTGCGAACAAGAGAGGGCGCTTATTTACCACCTTCGAGAGTCCCGTGGACGGGAAACACCGCGTGTGCGTACTGGTTCGCGCGCGTATAGCTCGAAGTGTGCAGCACTTATTTTGTTCTGAAATGTGCACAAGGCCAAAGCGTCTTCGCGTGAGCATCGGGCGTTGTCAGCATTACGTTCCAATGTCTCTCCAAGTGGTCCCCCGCAACTCTCCCTTCTTGTCGTTAAGGGGGTACTTGTGCACGAAGCCCATAATCTCTTTATTCCTATTTTTTAAGAAATGATTTTGTCTTTCAGACAGAACTTTTTCATTACCAGGTTTGTTACTACAGACATTCTTGTGTCAACAAAGTTAAAAGATGTGAATAAGTCAAAAATGTATTGCAGGTTAACTCTGGTCACACACTAGTGTTGTGCATTGGGTCGGGTTGACCAGTCCAAACTGACCCGAAACATTATAGATATAAACCGAATCCGAACCGAAACCGATCTGAACTCCCTAAAACTGACCCGACCCGTCCCGACAAAAATTCAAGGAAAACTGATACAAAAACGTACTGACTAAAAAAAAACACTTAAAAACTGGCTTGGGCATCTGTGTCCACTTTTTGTGTCTGAAATTACCCACGTCACATGAAATCAAAATGATCGTGTCTCAGTAGCTGAATCATACCGTATGGCGCTCACAACGTGACCTACTATTGGCGTCTAGATGTTATAGACAGTGCGTGATAGACTGTGCGTAATAGACTGCAAACCATTTTGGTTGTACTGCGCACAGTGACTCTGCAACAAATATTGCACTGTGTGAATTTCCAAACTGTTTCGGTTTATTTCAGTTTATTTGGGGTTTTTCCAAACTGGCTTAACCGACCCGACCTGAAAATTGCAAATGCAAAACCGAAACTGACCCGACCCGACTGAAATGATGGACAAACAGGCACGACCTGAAGTGGCTTTCAGGTCGGGTCAGTTTCGCGACGGGTTTGTACAACACTATCACATACACACACACACGCACACATCTTCTTATGTTTTATTATTTGGAACCCAGAACTGATAGCTGTATTAATTCTCCATAATTATTTGCTTTGGAGCTGCAAGTTGTTCCATGACAGTTGTTCTATTTTGTATCTCTGTAATAGTAACTTTGGTTACTTTTTATGTCTAAAGATTTGAAAAATAAAAACAGTAATAATAGCTTTTTACCATCCACATGGATAACGCTATTGTGAAATGCTCTCCTGACTTCTATTCACTGTTTCTTACTCATTTAGCCACTCTATCTTAATCTTTAGCCACAGTTTTTTTTTATTGATTTCAATGTTTGAAGTTGGAAGGCCAGATTGTTGACAATTCATTTCAGAAAGTGACTAGAAAGCCCTTCACAAAATTTAAAAAAAAAAAGCGAAATGAAATAATTACATGTAAATGTATAAGCAATCTACATGTAACGGAAGCAAACCTAAACCAATATCTTAGTTCCTCGTTGGTACAGAATTATATCGTTTTGAAAATTTTTACCCTCAGTAACTAAAAATTTCCTTTCAAGCTATTTTCTTTTCAATTCGCAGATGAAAATTTTGACGTGAAGCATGACAAGCCATATTTGCTATCCATGGCCAATCGTGGCAAGGATACTAATGGGTCGCAGTTCTTCATGTAAGTATTTTGGTCAGTTTGGGGATGGGTGGGGCAAAGGGGAGGTACAGTAGGGGGCTGTTAGATGATTTTTTCCTAAACAGACATGACTTGAGAGCTAGAGGTAGTTAGTGTGTATGTGTGTATTCTGCAATGAATGAGATTGATGATGCAGACGTTAGTCATTTTTGCCCTTCACCCAATTATTTCGAAAGCAACTCATACTCTGAACTCTGAAAAAATCGACAGGCTTTTCTATGGAAAAGTTTCCAAAAAGAATCTCAAATAAGTGCAGTTGTCCACACTGGATAGCTTACAAAGTTGTAGAATGCGTTGCCAAAGCAAATTTACTGGTCATGTTGAAATTCAGGTTCTCTTGACCAATTCTTTTCCCAAGTGTGAAATTGGAGGCTCGTGATTCTGTGCAAATCAGGAAAGACACCCAAAAAAATAGCGCGCCACTCTGCGACAAGTTGATTTTCCACTTCGCGTCGGAGGACGTCATAACACGCACTGATTGCCTCCACCCCCCTGGGTGACGTCTAAACACGCTTAATTCCTCGTGCCTTTTGTACACACACACACAAAGTCTGTGGAGGCGGACCGTGAGTTGATCTCGAATTGGCCGTTGTGCACGGCCTATTGTTCGACAATTTATGCTCCAGTGCACACCTCTGCGTATTGCAACATACCGGGGTATGAGGTTTCGGCAAGAAATGCAGCAAACTCTGGCTAAGTCGGCACTCTCAGGATCCGAGAATTTGTGACGACTTACGCGAATGCCAACATCTGTTGTTAGTCGTCATTTTGCTGACTTACATGAATGGCCTTTTTGCACACATGATTCATTGCACTAATTGGCTTCAATTTACCCTGGTTTACCTCCTTAATGCTTGAGTTGATTCCAGCAAATTAATCCTCGAACTTTATCATCACGTTTGGGGTATTGATAAAGGAGACCACGTGTACAATGTCGTGTACAGTTACAAATTAAATGCGTGCGTGGTATTGACTGCATCATTCAATAAGACGACCCCCAAAATGGACAGAGCGCATGCGTACAGGACTAGAGGGGGAACTGGTATTGATATGCTCACGATGCAAGCAGTAGTGGGAAACCCCTTGGCTTGGCTGTGCAGCGACACCAATGCAGCGATCACGGGCCGTGCCAAACCACTTTCCACTCAACACTTATTGCCAACCGCAGTGCAGGAAGTCAATGCAATGCATGATTTTTTGAATGCCGACTTACACAAAGGATTTTGTTATGCTTTTTATGGAAAGGGGACCGAGAGTAACACGACGACTTGAGCGAAATGGCGACTTATAATAGCCGACTTAGAAATAAAAAATTCAATGGAAATGCATTACAGACAATCAGGACTTTAGTCAGAAGGCCGACTTGAGTGAATTGGCAAGTTGTACGATGTCGACTTGGCCAGAGTTTACTGTATTATACAAATACTGTTCAAACGACTCTTGTGAATCAGTTTTGTGGCATTTGGCTGTATATCAGAAGTTGGCTGGAAAATTTTGCCTTTTGCAAAAATTAAAATTTTCGGCAAAAATAATCCCGGCGTGAATTGGTCAAACAACTGTCCTAGGAACCTTGTGAGTGTTTCAACAGTGGTGGTGGTGTAAAGCGAGAGAGTTTTGAGACTGGTACGATTTTTCATTGTTTGATATGATGTGTGGCATTTACTTTCACATAATTTAACTGGTAATTAAATAAAGCATGTACCATGTAGGAACAAGACATTGTAACTTTTGTAGCTTTGTATATTTTTTTATGTTCACCATTAAATGTTGACTGAAACTCATTAGTGATGGTTTCTATTTTGCTGTTTTTGTGTTGAATTACTGTTTTGCAGAAAAAAACTTCTATTCCAGCAGCACTCGAAGGTAATTGGTCTGTAAACTTTGTGTGGGTCTGAATTTCAGATGCGCACCGCCAGTGTGTTCCTTATTGTTGAATAGGAGTAATGGTAGATTTTTGGGAATCAAAAAATACTTGGGTAGTTTATGGAGCTGTTCTTTGTCATGATTAACAAAGGCTTTAGTACTAGACTATTGAATTCAAAAAGCTTGACTTGTTTCTTAAATGAAATATTTAAAAATACATTCATCCAAACTGTGGAATGTGGCCATTTGCTGTTTTCCAATATGCCATCTGTTTCTTAAGTGCAAAACATATGGTTCACGACCAACCTGCGAAAAATGAGAAAAAAAAATGTGTGACTTCAAACTCCTTCAGACGTACCTTCATTGAAAGATCTTGCAGTTTTTTTGAAATGTATTGATTTTTTTTTACAGTTTTACTTTATCGAATAGTGATGCAGTAAGTATTGGTTTGAGAGTCACATAAATATTATTTAGGAGAGCGCACATGTACTTTCCTAATATCAAAACGAGTCCACCCCTCTCCCTCCCCCTCCCCCCTTAAATAAAATTGTGAAAGAATACCTAAAATCTTACCCTTCTTCAATTTTGAGTCTTTCCTTCAACTGTATCCCTTTTTACTCGGCTGGTGAGAATTGTAAAGAAAGTGCTGCTTTCGATTGTAAATTTGTGACCAAAATATTCCATGAAGTTCCAAAATATGATATGGTATAAAGACTGAACTCCTATGGCAACACATACATGAAGGATAGTCGCAAAGTGAAATTTTTCATGCTGAATCCCTAACATTGGAAAATGAATCCTTCTAAACAATAAGTGATTTTTAGGATCGCGTGCTTTTTAAAGTACTACAGATCGTTTATGATTAAATGTTCATGTGCATAGTTGATGTGAAAAATTTACTAATCTGAATTTCTTTCCAGAACTTCACACACTTTCATCATGCATTTGACTAACCTCAAACTTTGTTTCGCTTTCTTTCCCAATAACTTGCTTTCTTACATACCCGTGGTACAGCACGACCAAGCAAGCTCCACATCTCGATGGGTAAGAGTTTTTCCCCAATAATATCAATAAGTAGCCACTTTGTAGATTGGCCCATTGTCCAATGGTAGTAAAGTGCGGCAAAAAACCTGATGCACAGAGAGATCAGTAGAGACAATTCATCGATCAACTAAGCCCCGCCTCCATGATGTGTTGACCAATCACAGAGGTGATTCATGTCCGACATGCACGTACAAGAGCCGGACATGAATGCACATTATGCATATGTAGCCCCATAAATGTGGCCAATTTACTGGACTACCTCCGTAAATCGGCCACACTGTCGCCATAGCAAGTGACGAGGAGGATGTTTTTTTTTTTTCCATCAATTTTCACAATCAGACTTTGCTGCTAGTTTATTTACGTTTTGGAAGTACACTCACCCGAGTGATTTTTTCCAACTTTCACTCGGGAGGTAACACACTGAGTATACAGTGTTCAAACGTTGGTGAAGGGCAAAACCTAATTTGATTTATATCACCCCGACGCAAAAATTCCATCTCATAATAGTTTGTGCGGTACCCGCTGCTATGTACATCAGATTTAGACCAGCCAGCCGATCCCGTTAGCTCGGTGGTCGAGTGGTAAGACATCTGCACTAGAAAGCAGGAGGTCGTGGGTTCGAGTCCCACCCGAGTGATTTTTTCCAACTTTCACTCGGGAGGTAACACACTGAGTATACAGTGTTCAAACGTCAGTGAAGGGCAAAACCTAATTTTGATTTATATCACCCCGACACAAAAAATTCCATCTCATAATACACTCACCTTCTTAAATACTAGCAAGGAAAACAAATTTGCAGTTCCTCAGACGTCTACTTTTCATGTAATTTCCAGAGGAAATTTTGAGGCTCGCTTGTACATGTTTGAGTGTAACTACAATTCCAACATGGCGACGCTAACCGCAATGCATGCTGGTATACCGGTAATGCGTGACCTGCAGGTCGACATGTTTGCTGTCAGTCACGCAAAGTGCAGTCGACTCGGCGGCTGTTGCTTGACTTTGGTAATCCCCGGTTTGTAATGCACCCTCATTCGTACTATACACCGAGTATAACTAAAGTCTAGCAACGGCTGCCGAGCCGACTGCAGGAGCTCTATGAAATCAGGCCGAGCACTTAAGAACCAGTCGTTTTAATCTCTGTGAATCATTCAGTGATCAGCCCATGTTTTTTGTCTTCCTCGTTCAGGATTCACACTGTATTTGGCCAAGTGTTGCTGGGGTCAGAGGTCGTGCAGGAAATCGAGAACCTGCGGGTTGACAATAAGAGCCGGCCCACGACCGATGTGCGTGTGACAAACTGCGGCGAGCTCGTCTTGAAAATGAAAGCAAAAGGTATAAAACTATTATTGTCGGCCTTCAGCCGTGAGTAACACTTGTAACATCCCCAACAATGAATAGAAACATAGATGAAACTAATTTTTGTTCTGACATCCATAACTTAAATAATCTTTGAGAGAAATCAGATCAAATATGTCAAACAGATCAAATTTTGTCAAAATTGGTATTTTTAGATTTAACAATCAGACAATTTATCCTGAATTGCCCCAATTTTTCTGCACTTGTGTGTCCGACAGCACTTTGGAAATTTTGATTTTGATAATGTATAACCAGAGAAGCTCGTACCCCGCCCAGAAATTACGGCAGATGTGCTCACTGAACTGCATCTTCATTTCAAAGAAAATGTTAAGTCATTATGAAGCTATGATGTAAAATGAATATTCATTATATGCAAATGAAGTTATGATGTCACAGTTTCTAGAAATGAAGTGTCTGTAGCCAACCATTCATTGGGATGAATCATTCTGCTTTTGTAACACTGATATTAACCTTGCAAGTGCAAGTTAATTTGAATAGCGTATTACTCTAGTACGCAAGGCTAGGGCTGTGATAATTCAAATGTTTACATATGATCACGTCTTACCCACACTATGGGCTCCGTGCGTCAACAAAAGGGGGCGCCCTTTTACCTAGCAATGACGTCCCATGGGTGGGACATTTAGCTGGTTGACGCGCACCGTTCCTTGTGTGTGACGCACGTACACCAGAGGATTTGTACTATGTACACGCGGTGGTACGGCCGCGCGTCGCGGCAAAATTGCAGTCAGGCAAGATGGCGTCGGTCAGCCACCCCCAACTGTACTTTCTTTGCCGGTGAGGGGGTACTTGTGAACGGAGCGGATATCAAAAGTTTGCCAAGTTTTTCCTTTATGAATAGAGAATGTGTCTGCACTTTTTATGTAGATGGTTGCAACATTTGCCTCACATGATCTCTTGTTTATATAATGGAAAGAAGCTAAGGAGCTCAAACATTTAATTCAATTAATTTTCAGAGCCCAAGCGGAAGAAGAAACCAGACAAAGACTCTTCCTCTGAGGAGAGCTCCTCGGAATCATCCTCGGAGAGCGAAGACGAGAAGCAAAAGAAGAAGAAGAAAAAACAAAAGGAGGCAAGGGAGTCAAGGAGAGACAAGAAAGAAGAAAGGTAATGTAATTACAGAACTGAAAGGCATAAAGGATCATTTGCATTTATCCCAAAAGTAACCCTACCAAATTATTATCAGAAATCTTACTTAGATTACGGATCACACTGGTACTAAACACCCTGTGAAATTATTCCATCTAGCTTGCTGTCATTTAGAAGAAATCAAGAAATGTATGTGATTTCCAACGTATCAGTTAGTTGACTGATTTTTGGAAAAAAGGGTTCTGTTGACGAAATCGTGTTCCGGAATGAAAAGGTTCTGCATGGTTTTTAACTGTTTTCTCAAAAAGTGTAATATCCACTGAGCTGAAACTTCAAAGACTTTCGTGGACTATCCCGGCCAATACCAGTTTGGTTTCTCGATGAAGTGGTCCAGGCCAAAGGTCATTTAGGATAAGCATCAAGCGTCTTGTATCTGCGATGTTACGCGAACGTCCATTCTGCTCGTAATTAACGCGCGAACGTCGTGCAACCATCTCCTTGCGCGTTCAAGCGCCTTCAATGATCTTTCACTTATCCCGAATGCCCATATCATTGCGCACATGCGAAGTTGGAAAACCAAACTGGCTGATTGCCGAATAATCATAAATAAATATAGGGTGCTCTTTGCATGGGGTCTATATTGTTGGAAGTAGAAATGGGACGTTCCACATTTTAAACTTCTTCACCTGGCTCTATATCTCATTGCAATACTCAGAAATTATAGGATTAGATTCATTTTCCATATGCAACACCCTCCAACAAAATGGATATAGAAACTTTAACATGAACATTTTTTGTTCCTTTCAATTTTTTTTTTTTTTATACAAAATTCAGTGTGAAGGAAGAGCCCAAACCCACAGTTTACCAGAGTGAGCTGTCGGCTAACGTGACCATCAACCCAGAACAGATCCCAGATGTTCCCACCAATAAGTTCCTGTTACGCAGAAGCCCTGTGACTGACCTGCCGTAAGTATGGAGACCATATGCATTGAAACTCCTCAAGTTTAAACTGAGTTAAAAAGCCCGATCTTACTCAAAGTGGAAGTGAGTGGTAATGCTGATTTGTGATGTCAAGGCAAGTTTTCGCACTGTGAATTTGGAAGCTGAACACATTTCAACATGAATGTTTTGTAACATAATTTTTGCCTTAAATTAGCACTCGCATAAAGTTAATTGCAAACTGTTATGATCTTGGGTTAGTTTATCCCTAGCTGACTCCCTAGGCATTTTTGCTAGGATGCAACTTGAATCCGCCAACTGCCTCCATGTAAAAATTGCATACAGTCTCAATCCTCCAAAATCATGCCTTATTTCTTGAATGGGGTCCTTGAAGGGCTGGCCACTGCCTCAATCCTGCAAAATCCTCCAGCAGTAACTGTCAATATGTTGAAGCAGAGCCAGTGACATCCTGGAGCAATGCGGAGCATTTCAAGTATAATCTATGCACGGCTGTGCATAAACAACATAACAAGGTCCGACCTAAGACCTTGACACAGTGCATCCTCCAAAATCAGCCACACATTTTTGCCATATAGCCTCAATGCTGCAAAATCTGCATTTTGCAAATAGGATTTTGGAGGATTTGGGAAGGTTAGGGTTAATGTAGCTACTTACAATATATACCATTCTGGACACGGAGTCACTTTACACTCATGGTGCCCCCCAGTAATGGCAGACGCATTGTCTGTCGTGGAGTGAGTGTTTTGTCCAAGAGTGGGCACAATACCTCTGTCATTAGTAGTCCTCGGTAAAAGGTGCATTTATTCAATTTGGCAAGAGATGTTGAAATTTTATACTGTGCCCAATTTCAGATGGGTACCCCCCTTCCCCCCAGTATCCCTATAGACGCTCCATATACTATTGTTATCTAACACATCCCCCTAGATATCTCAACAGAATTCCCAGAGATCCTGGAACACAATGGCCAACACAAAATAGGGGGGGGGGGGGTGTCCCTTCCATAACATATCTTGCTTCCTATGTTAAATTACAGCTCTCAATGGCCATGGTTGTTAGTACTGAACAGCTTTCCACTGATTTATTCCTTTTTTTAAAATCTAAAGTCAAAGGATTGGATTTTTTTCAAACTTTTGTTAGAAAAACATTACAATTGCCTGAAATTTTTCATTGGTGTTTTGTTTTTTTTTCCATCAGAAATCAGCGAATGCGGAGGATGAACCCAAGTCGAACTCGGTCTGGACGTAAGGTGAAGGGAAGGGGTACAATGGTGAGTATTTACATTTCTAAAAAAATTCCTTAACTGCATGTTTATAATACTGATCCTAGGGAAGTTATAACATTTTTTTAAGAGCCTTTGATTTCCTACTTTTTGTTAACGAGGACGGAATAAATTTTTTTCATATTTAATAACTAATTTTTCATAAAGAATTCAGTTTTCGGAGAAAACCCCTTCAATGTGTGTTCTGAACAAACACAAACAATTAAACTTCAACAAGTGTTGTCGAAAATTGGTCAGTTCCGTATAAAGCTTTTAATCGTATTTATTCAGATTTTGGAGCATAATTATTTAGAGAGTTGTTTTGTCAGCCATTTTTCCGTGGATGAAACACAGGATGAATTGTGATGTGAAAATGTTAACGCTGTTCTGATAATTGCGATTTTCCTCCGGAAGCAATTGCACAAGTCAAATTAGGTTTTGCCCTTCACCGATGTATAAACACTGTATACATGTTAGCTCGGTGGTCGAGTGGTAAGACATCTGCACTAGAAAGCAGGAGGTTGTGGGTTCGAGTCCCATTCGAGTGATTTTTTTTCCAACTTTCACTCGGAAGGTAACACACTGAGTATACAGTGTTTATACGTCAGTGGAGGGCAAAACCTAATTTGATTTACATCACCCCGATGCAAAATATTCCATCTCATCAATTGCACAACGTACTTGTAATTTAACCAGGATTGAAGTAACAATGATATCGGTAGAAGCAGATAAACCAAGTTTAATTCCAATGCAAGATTTGTGAACAAAAGTCTTTGTTTCTATAATTTCATTTATAGCTTTACCGTACTCCATCCCGTTCCCGTTCGAGGAGTGTCACTCCCCCTCACTGGCGCGTGGAGGAGCAGCGGCAAGCAGGCAACCTGGTGTCTGACCAGTGGCCGGCTAGAGGGCCGCGGAGGGCCAGCCTGGGATCCCAAGATGACCGATGGGAGCGGGGCATGGCCCTGCAATCTGCAAGGCCAGACAACAGGTACATCCTTGTGGTCTCGTGGAGTGCTGTGGCCTCGTGGTCTGGTGCATGAATTCAATGTCTTCCATATCATTATCATCAACATCATTAACCCTAACCGCCCTGAATTCTTCAAAATCCTCTTTGCCAAAGTGGATGAACTTGAAGGAGTGAGGTTACATGGCAAAAGTGTGTTACTGATTTCGTAGGATGCATGTTGTCAAGGTCTTGGGCCGGACCTTGTGTTTTTTTGCTCAGCTATGCATAAATATAGGCCTGGATTATGCTTGAAATCCTCCGTACTGCTCCAGGATGTCACTGGCCAAGCCTCAACATATTGACAGTCATTGCCGCAGGATTTTGCAGGATTCAGGCAGTGGTCACCCCTCCACGGGCCATATTCAAGAAATAATGGAGGAATTTGCAGTATTGAGGCTATACATGCTATTTTTCCATGAGGCCAATTGGAGGATTTTGCAGGATTGAGGCTACATCCTAGCAAAAAAGCCTAGCGAGTTAGGGTTAACTCTCCAAAACCTTTTTAAAAAAATCTTTTTCCCATTAAATTAAAGCCAGTACATCCACCTCATGAATGGGAGTGTGAAGCAAATTTTATGTCAGGAAATTTGTCTCAGCGAAATTTGCCTTGACGCTGCAAATTCCTGTTTACGTTTGCTTGCACTCCAAGTATGAACCATCCTTTAGCACATAGACACACTACAAAACGTTTTGAAGTAATCCTGTTTATACCATACATGTCTCTGTACATTACTTGTACGCCTCAAATTTCCTGCAAAAATTCAGAGCTCACTTATCCATCCCTGAAAGCTAAATTTGCTCTCACTTATATATTACCTTGAATAGAATCGCCATAGTATCGGATGATACCACGCTTCCGTGAAAGGGCAATTCCACCATCACTCACATTACATTTATATGCCATGAGGCTACTTTGACCTCTCACTGCTTCAAAACTATTTGATCAAGCTGAATCAAACGAGCATACAACAACCTTGGTGTAAGGGATACTCAAAAATGGAAAGAAAAATTCAATCCATGAATTCAGTTTTTGGAAACATGTGTTTTATTGGTCGTCACTCATGTTACAAAAAAAGGACATGGAAATTGTCCTGCAATTTTGTTTTTGCAGTTTACTCAAACTGTAGTCTGCAACACAGAAGTAACATTATTTTACCTTTCATTCAACCCATAGCTAGATATAAAAACCCATTTTGAATCAAATAAGGGTGTATTTTAGATGCAAGAGACATTACATTACAGGGAGGTACCGTCACCCACGTTACGTCACTCACGTTACTTCCTCTTCATGGTTTCTAACACAGCATAAAATCTGAGGTTGATTAACTGCAACATAACGAAACTCTTTTCTTATAATATATGAACCTTTTTCTCTTCCTTAAACACAAAAACTCTCAATAACAGTCACATTTTGCATGTTAAAAGAAAGTGCAAATATGACTCAGGCATGCAACTTTTCCTCGGATCTGCTGATTTCCTCGTTTTTTACTACTCATGAATGCCATATCAAATTGAAAAAAAAAACTGAACAAAGCCTTGTGTGGTTTGGAATTTCCTCGTTTTTTTCTAAACTCCCAGTTGCATGCCTGATGACTACCAAAAATCCATGATTTTTCATCCATGAGAATCACATGAGAATCACACCACTCAAATGAAAGATCTTGTTGTCCCCGTTAATTTGACACCACATTTGATGTTGTGATGCTTGTAGTTTGGAAGATTTCACACAGTTTCCACTTTCCAGCCGTGTCTACTTTGCCGTGGAATTGCCCGAAAGACAAAGTAAAACATTATTTTTTCTGGAATTTATTTTGTCCCAGGCGTGATGAACCCCCACAGGGCAGGGCAGTGATACGGGAAATGTTGATTGATGATCGCGCCCATCCTCGCTTCAGGAACAACGGCATCGGGGGGCGTCAGCGAGATAGACCCTTGTCTGGCAGGCTCGGGGATCGACGGGCGCCCGTGAGAGACGAGAGGGGGCAGAGAGGGAGGGTCCACGTGGAGGCAGCCCAGAGGTCTGACAGAGGAAAGGAGAAGGGAAGAGGAAAGGAAAAGGAGAAAGAAAAGGAAAAGAAGCACAAGAAAGATAAAGACAAGTGAGATTTCATCTGAAAAAAAAATCTTATTCGGTTATGCAGGGGAGTGATTTGTCAGGATTTTTGCCCTGATTTCAGGATTTTTGGTCAGGAATTTCCTGATGTCATGTTTTGTAAAGAAATCTTGAATTCCTGAGGTTTTACCTTTAAGGTGTTTTTTTCCCTTGTAAAACTTTATATAGAATAAAAGAAATGGGTATTGTAAGGTGTGCCACAATTGTTTGCTCTCGGCTTAACTCCTATGTAAGTCAATATTGAAAGCTCCCCATAGTCATGAAGCCATGAACAGACTGCAAAACGTATCGGTTTAGGATGAATTTAACACATAAATTTGTCTTTCCAGATCCCACAAGAAGCATAAGAAACACAAGAAGCACTCGGACAAGGAAAAGCACAAAGACCACGAGGAGGGGGCTACCAAAGACAAGAGAGCGTCCTCTCCCAAGCCGCGATCGCGGTCCCCGAAAGCCAAGAAGGACCGGGCCCGTTCACCCAGGAGGGAGAGGGGCAGCGGTGGGGCTGGCAGACACCGGTCTAGCCCCTCCCCTAGGGATGCTAGACGAAACGCTGCAGGCCAGCGCATGGAAGTCAAGACAAACGACAGGTATGGAGGATTCATGCATTTTTAACCCTAACTACCTAGGCCCTTTTTGATAGCATCCACAGGGTTCATCCTTAATTTTTTTTCACTAGCCAGCTAGGCTACTGGGACAGACTCTTAACTAGCCCGCAGGTATTTTCACTAGCCTGCATCTTTTTCTTTTCTAGAGTTTCTCATAAACAACAATGTGCATACATGTAAAATGTGGACCCTGAGGCAATCTTGTCAGTGTTTGTTATAAACAGATCTAATCATTTAACCCTATAAACAATTAATAAAATTAGACACAAATTGATACAGGGTTGCTTTCTGAATTTGATGAATTATTTCTTCCTGTCCTTTCATCTTTGCCGTAGCCCAATAATTTTTGACTCGCCAGCTGGGCTACTTAAGATCTAGTTTGACTAGCCTGCCGCTGTTTGACTAGCATCTGGCTAGTGGGCTACCGCTAAAGTCCAACCCTGGACCCATCCTCAATCATTAAAAATCTCCCAGCTGCCTCAATGTAAAAATACTCCACTCACTGTAATACGTTGAGGCAGTGCAGATGATATCCAGAAGCAGTGCAGATGACGTCCAGTATAAGTAGGCCTCAATTGTGCATAGCTGAACATAAGCAATGCTGGTATAGCTGAACACCTTGACAAAATGCATCCTTCAAATCAACGATACTTGTTCGCCATTCAGCCTCAACCCTCCAAAATTCTCTAAAACTGCCTGGTTGATTTTGGAGGATTGAGAGTTAGGTTTTAGACCAAGGAAAACCTTATTTTCTGTTCTGTAAAACATCAAAATCTCTTTAAGTTTTTCACCTAACTTGTAAAATCACACACACATTGTAAAATCCTTCGTCTGTATGAATTTGTCTAATTGTGCAATCCTGTTTTGAATGTCAAATCTTTTACTGTGTTCCAGAGCCCGTAAATCCAAGTCCCTGAGCCCACCGCCAAGCCGTTGGAAGCCAGGCCAGAAACCCTGGAAGCTCTCGGATGCAAACAAGGAATCTGGGTAAGTCTAAATGAAAAAAAATAGAAGAGAGATTCTCAAAAAGCATAGGCCATCCATTGCTATTGTCCTTATCTGAGATCAACAAATGAACCCAACTCAACTTTACTCAGCTCAACTTTACTCAGTTTAAATATTATGAGCACTGTTCATTCATTGCTGTCCGAAATTGCATGACCAGTACTTCACAAGCTTGCTTGGGTGGAAATTTAAACGGTGACCTCCTGCTTACTAGAGCAGAATGTGAAATTAAACTAGAGGTTTACCTGGATTAAACTAGCGGTTTGCCTGCAGGTATTACAGGGTTTTATTGGTTGCCTTTGGGTTTCAACTTTAAGTTACCGCTGCTTTAAATTTGCATTCTTTCCTCAACATTTGACCAACAAGGTCGTCAAGGTCAGTGGACCATCAGTGACATTGGTATAAGTTTGAAAGGGGTCTGATGCTGGAGTGTCGACCAATTAAGCTTGCCAATTTTATTTAATTTTCTAGCTCCTGGAGAGCACTGAGCATCCATGCAGTGTCGGTATCTCGGTACTTAAATATTGAGTATTTTTAATTTGCAGTGTGAGAAACAAACGTCAAGAAGTGCCACCCGCTGGTCGACCTGTCCTGACTGCAAAAAGCCCATCATCCTCACCACCATCCATCGACGAACGCTCCCCATCACCAGTCCAATTGAGAAGGTAAAATATTAACCCAAAACACCTGGCCAGACCCTTCAAATTCTACCAGGAGGATTTGTAGGATATGCTGCAGGATTAAGGAATGTCGAGCCAGACCACTTTTTCTTAACACGGGGTTCAATGCCCCTTAAAGGTAATGGACCTTATTCACGAGGTAGCCATTTTTGTCGTGTTCCCTGAATGTATTTCATAAATTGTTCAGTGTTGAATGGAATGGCGCCAGACTATTTATGCAGCCTTATTTTACTTTCATTTTTTTTTTTTTTTATCTGGCTTTAAACATTAGGGAATGTTTAATTGCAAATTTTAAATTATTAATTTAAGCAGACTTGAATTAGTTCCTAATGTTCTTGCTATCATTTCTCTTCGCAAAGTCCAAAAAATGAAGATTTTACCTCACTTTCAATTCAACATGGCCGACTCGTGAATAAGGCCCCATGACAACATTTGCAAACATTCAAAAATCAAACTGCCAAATATTATGAAATATCCCACTTGATTGTAAGTAAATAATAGGATCAAACATCCTGTGATATCATTGCGCCTAGTATGCTGTCATTGTTCGAGAAAAAAGGGAATTACCATAATTTTTCTTGCGACGGTTCTAACCAAACCATCACACTTTCAACGAAAACCTTACTTTGCGTCAAGAAAAATGAAGATGCATTTTCACAGTTTTCGAGACAAAAAATATCTACTGAGCTGAAATTTTGACAGGTTAGTTTTGTAATAATATGCATCCGATTTGTCGGATTGTTGTTCCTTGGGTCGGCAAAACACATTTACAAATTAGCACACTGAATATACAGTGTTTAAACGTCGGTGAAGGGCAAAACCTAATTTGATTTCTATCACCCCGACGCAAAATTCCATCTTATAACATTTACCAATTGTTTCCATTACCTTGACAATGTTAGAGTGCAAAAACATACCATTGGTTTCCTGTGCAGTAGGGTATTTTCTGCTCCCTATAGCTCCCTATATTGAATTTAGAAAACGTCCATGGCAGAGGCAGAGACAATATAAACCCACATTACACCATATTTGCCAAAACAAAATTGCATCGTAAAGTGCATGTTTACTGCATGTGACAGGGCAAAATTGATTATGAGGTCATTTTTGTCTGAGCAGATTTTGTGTCTTTTGTGTCTTAACCCTAACCCCCTAAGAGTTCATTTGGAGAACAGTACCACATACTACAAAGTACTACAAAAATTATGTATGCAGGTACTCAAATACTAGAAAGTACTATGAGTGCTGTGCTCACTTATATGCTCAAGTACTGCATACTACAGTTTACTACTAGTAGTATTTTGTAGCGTTAGGTGCGGTTAGGGTTGGTTTTCATGGTGTAAACTGGTGCAAGTGAAATTTTATTTGCATATGTTAACTGATATCATAAGGTGCAATCTGACTTGTTTTGTCTCCAGGCATGGACCTAATCGAAGCCCCTCCCCTCGACACCTGAGTCCTCAGCATGAACTGAGCAGCCCCTCCAGGTCCCCCCTGCCCGTGTCCAGGCAGAAGGCCTGGCCGACCAGCCCCTCTGAGCGGGTCAAGTTGGCCGCTTTACCTCCTTCCTCCCCACGTCGCTCCCGCTCAAGATCAAGCTCGTCCAGCAACACCGACGACAACGATGAATCTCCATCAGCGCATGATGATCAGGTCAGCGGGGCACACAAAACAGGCGACCCCTACTCAACCAAGAACCGCAAGAAGTACCAGAAGGCTACGGAGCAGCGCAAGCGGAGCCCAACGCTGAAGGAGCGATTCCAGTGGCAGCCGCCCTCCGAGGACGAGGCAGAGCTTGGTGGAGCTGGCATGGGCGGGGCAGATGGGGGACATACTGGGCGGAGTCCTCGGGCGTCGGCCCAGACTGAGAGATCTGGACAAAGTCAAGTGGACACTCGCCAGGTCAGTGCAAAAAAATTCTTCCTCTGTGATAGAACCACTTGATTTGTGTCACTTGTGACTTGTCCAACTTTTGTCATATTTTGGTGACTAATCATGAAGTCATGATGGTATATATCCAACATTTCCACTCTGTCTTAATTTACAGGAACATGAAGACAAGCACTCAAGCAGTTCTGAAAATGAGGAGATTGAAGATTTGGAGCAGAAGCGCACCGACCTGGAGCAGCGCCTTGCAGCCTTGACCTCCCAGAATCGCAAGATCCAGGAAATGATGGGTGGAGGAGCTGAGGAATCCGACGGAGAAGATAACAAAGCGCCCTCTGTTGACAAGGCAGAGGTGGTTCAGTCCCCAGAGCCGCCAGTGCCTGCCAAATTCAAGAAGGTTGACAGTGATGATGCCGCCTCTCCGCCGAGGAAGGCGCCAGAAACCAGAGCCCCAAGAGAGGCAAGCCCCAAACCAACACGCTCCGAGGACAAACCTTCTTCCAAAGCCCAGCACAAGCGAGGCCACTCCAGGAGCCGCAGCCGTAGCCGTAGTCGGAGCCCTGCCAAGAGACGCCCGCGGGGTAGGAGCCGTTCCCGTTCCCGTAGCCCGGGCAGGGATCATCGCAGCCCACCGAGAAGCAAAGAGAGAAAGAGATCGCTCTCACCGCCTAGAAGGTCAGCTAGGTCACGCTCAAAGTCGCGTTCCAGGTCACCTAGGAGGCGCTCCAGGTCTCCTGTCCGAGCAGCTAAGAGGTCCCCTCCAAGATCGGCAAGGAAGCGGTCACGATCCTCTTCATCCAGCAGCAGATCCCCAACACCTAGGAGAAGGTCTCGATCTCCTAGACAATTACCTGCCAAGAGGTCAAACCGCAGGTCACCTGTCAGGAAGTCTCGCAGATCAAGGTAGGTTCTGGTTTCCCTACGAAAAAAATGTAAAATATTCAGTGTTAAACAACTTTGTAGAATGGTAAAATTAAGTTCCTGAATGACTGACATGAGTGTCATCAATTAGTGTAGCATGATGATTTTCACACAATTATGATGACTTTGTAAGGTAAGTTAAATTGACACGTGCACATTGTAGTCTGGATGGACTCGGCAGAAGAAAGAAAGAAATGTATGGAATGCCAGGCATTGTGAATTAACTTCTTGGCCTTGTGTCAATGTCACGTTGCCAGTCCAAAATCAACCTCGACCCCCCCCCCCCCAGAATACTCCAGCTTCCACCTTTTGCAAACTTATTCAAATGATACACTTACTAATAACATAATTATTATAATCTCAACTCGCATTCCGTTTAAACCAAGCTTCAAATTTTGGATGTATCTGATTTGACGTCTATAATTCTCACGTCTGACTCCATCAGCTCTGCCTCCTCACGCAGTCCATCGCCAGGCCCCCGTGGCCGGAAGCGTCCAGCCATCCCTCCACGGAGGAGCAGGAGTCGCTCTCGAAGCAGAGGCAGAACTGCCCGTGATCGCAGGCAAGTATTATGCAGAGTCCATGAGCAAAAATGAGAGAGTGGCGCTTCAGACTATGAGTGTGTTCAATTTATAAACTGCTATGCTGACAAAGTCGAAAATATTGCATAGCGAAATTGTGGGCCAAACAAATGTAGCTTAGGAGTCGTCACAAGGATGTCACGAAACATTTGGGCCGGTAACGCTGTTTTCAATTGACAAGCATTTTCCGTCTTATTGACCCTAACTCTCCGTTGTAATTTGGCTAGAAACTCTGCTATACGCAGCAACATGTAACACTTGTCTATATGACAAGCTTGCCCAGTGTAGCAAGAGCCATCAGGTCCAAAGTCTCCCGGCCAAAATGCCTCAGAGTGTGTGGTCACTGAACGCAGCAGGAAACAACTGAGGCATTGTTCAATGGGATTAGCTCTCATAGTGTCAGAAGTGGCCGTTTATGCACTGGTGTTGGTAGCTAATTGCATCAAAGTGCACCAGACTTTCACACCTGATGCACTGTGTTGCGTCTGAAAGGGTTAGTGCTAATGATTAGCAATTCTATGAAATTTGCACTGTACACAGTGCAGAATACCTTGCCATAATAGCATTTTATGAACAAATGTAGTCTGTGGATTGGTCTGGAGAAGTTGTTAAATATCTGCAACAGATGATGTCACCAACTTGTGTATAAAGGCTAGCTGTGTATGTGTATAAAGGCTTGCTTCATGGATCATGCTGGACAAATTTTGTTTTTCAGAATCGTCATCCATTTTCAACTTTTTCCTCATCTTAATGTGCTGCCATCTTATTCATCCTGTTTGTTTTCCATTAACAGACGCAGCCCAAGCAGGGAGAGGCGCAGACCATCACCACGGCGACCGTCACCCAGGCGCCTGTCACCACGGCGACGTCGGAGGACTCGCTCCCCGTCCCCAAGACGCAGGAGATCTCGATCCATCAGCCGAACCAGAAGGTAGGAGACCGCATTTTTCTGTGCTATGTTGGGAGAAACTCAGCTATAATTTTTCATCGTAAAAGTTAATCACACGTGAAAACTTATTTGATCATAAGTAAGATTTGAGGCTTTGCATGGTGGAGATACTAAATAATAAAAGGTTTGCGGAAACACCATGTGCGAATAATTGCTCAACTAAGAGAATGGTTCTGAAAAGAACCAGAGGTATAAACTTGACGTTCCGGTCAGTATGCTCTGACCGTCTTCAGGAGTCGGTCAGAGCATACTGACCGGAACGTCAAGTTTATACCTTTTTTTTTTTTGATAATAAAAGCAATTTTTATTTACGTTGTCCATATTTTCAATTGCCATTTTAATATATGCAGAAGGAGCCGAAGTCCGCTGCGTCGCCGTCGGTCGCGTTCCCGGTCACGCACCAAGTCGCGGTCGCGATCCCGCGGCCGTCGGCCGAGATCACCACCTCGCCGTGATAGGAACCGGCGAGCCCGCCGGTCCCATTCTAGGTCATCATCTAGGTCCCGCTCTAGGAGCCGGTCTAGGAACCGGTCTAGGAGCCGAAGGAGAAGCGCCAGCAGATCCTACAGTCGCAGTAGCCGAAGCTATTCCAGTTCCAGCGTGTGATCACGAAGCGTTTGTCCAGCATTTTATCGATACATACAACAGTAGTTGTATAGCGGGCGAATTTTAGTGTTTGCCCATCTTTATATTAGGCCAAAAAAAAAAAGTGTCTCCGGTTTCTGGTATGGAGCTTGCCCAAATAGTGGTCTGGCGACGCGGCTTTTTTTTTTTTTTTTACCTGATTTTTTTGCTTCAAATGTCGGCTGATGACTGCAAATGGTGCCCGACTAAACTTAGTGCAAATATATGGGAGACCAGAGAGGCCACATAAAGCTTATTCTCGACCATAACCCAATCTAAAAACACGTTAAAATTGTGCAGCAGCAGGATTCCAGTCAAACCAGTGAGTTTGGCAGTTTTGAGACATCATCTTTCATTGAAATTTTTTTTTTTTCATTTTGCCGACGCGCATGGCTACGGCAACGCGCGCGCATACCAGAAACCGGAGACTTTTTTGGGGGGCCTTATTTCCTTAAAATGTTTTCAGAGAACCTGAGCAAGTCATTAATGAAAATCTCAAATTTTTGAGTTCATTATATGCTTTGTACTTCATTACTAAAATCATCCATGAAATTGCTTCGTCTGGTGTTTGATGATTTTGTAGAAGTGTTAAATTTCATAAGAAAAATGGTAAACATTGTGTAGAGTAGATGTTATGGCCTTGTGCTGTTTGTGGTAGTAGTTCATTTTTTTCTGTGTAAATGCTGTTCAACGTGAGAAGATACGCAAGAAAAATCTTGCGAATTTTTTTAATCGAACTTTTTCCTACTTTTCAAACTGATCATGTAAATTTGTGTGTAACATTTCTTCTTCTTTTTTTATCTTTTGTCTTTTTACAAGCGTATGAAACCATGTCATAATACATGTGGTAGTAGCAATTATTGCAATTTTAAATGTTTCTTATGATCTCATTCATCTGCTTTGGTCATACTAACCCCTTAAGAATGATTAATTTGATTTGATTTTGTAACATTTTTGGGAAACGTCCTCTTGGTGATTCATTTCCTCCATTTGTATATATTTTTAATGGATTTTCATCGTATAAGTAAAATGTCTTGTTGAGTCACTTGGAATGCCTCAGTTTCCAATGGTTTTTCTTATTTCGCATATCCTGCAATCAACGTTTGATTTTGTGATATAAATGAAGTTGTATTTTTGTTTTTTCATTATTAACCCTCCTATGGAAACATGCATTGTCAGCCTGGTTATTCCTAGGGTCAATATTGGTCAAGACCCCCATTGGTTTGTACACAGTATGCCAGGAGGTGAGATACAAACATTTTGACCATTGGTGACCTCTTTAAATCGTAGGAGGTAGTAGGTTTTTTTTTATTTTGTATCATTTTGGACACCCTGGTTTTGGTGTTTTTTTGGCTTGTGAAATATAAACCAATCTTAGTAACCTGCTGAGCATCAAATCGCTAAGTAATTTTTAATAAGAAATTTTGAGATGCTTTGTCTGGAAGAGCAGTTGTATAGTTCTTAACTGATTTTAGAATGTTTGGTGATTTCGTCTTTAATAGCACAACGCAGTGCAGGTTTATGGACCCTTTTATGTCATGCCTCTGCTAAACATTGAATTCTATGCTTACACTCGCCATTCTGTGCTCATAAACACTGCAAAAAAAGAAAGTCCACGCTCATTGGAGGGGTCATAATTTTCAATCTGATCGTCTTATGATGACGTCATTTATAGATACCTTTGGGGAGTTTTGTTAGCTATATTTGGTTACCCTGTTTGCCACCGAAAACTGTAAATCGTCCAAGATTGACAACGGTTTATGAAAATTGATGCAGTTGGAAAAGTTGCAAATTTAAAAGATTACGCGAGTTGAAATTGCTAAGCGTTACCAAACACACATGCACATAACTGCCCAAACAAACCGCTGGTTATTCGAATAGCCCGGTTGCTCCCATACATACAAGCACTGTGCGATCGATATTCCCTGACGTTTGTTTCGGGCAGTGTTACATGGTCACGCTGCAATTTCCGCTTTTCACGATCAGTTTCAAAATTATGACCCCACCAATGCGTGTGGCCTTTTTTTGTGTGTGTGTAGTGTTTAGATCATTTGCACTACACCTATCTTTTGAGGCGTGTGCTTTTGTTCAACAGGGATAGGCATGAGTAGATCTCTTGCATTCATCGTTAATGGGTTAACATAACAAAACACACCTCAAACATGGCTGCCGAAATGCAATCAATCTATAGCGCAAGCACAGAAAGTTTTGGCAAACCCTGTACATGTAAGCTCTGCTTTAGTTAATATTAAATGCTTATGGTAAGCGGAAAAGTGGAATCTGTCAATTCATTCTTAGTATTTGCGAGTTAATTGTAAAATAAGTGTATGTGTATAACTGGTTGCATTGAGACATTGTTGGTGTTACAAACGCTATACAAACAGACTGAGAAACACAAATGTGGCTGTGTGTTGGATAATACCCAGCATTTTTACTTTGAAGGAACATTGATGTATTTGTCAACCATTATATTTGTGGGACTAATCGGCAAATGATCTGTGAATAAATTACATGTTTCCTCATCAGGACACAAAACCATATTAGCTGACTTCTTGCATTGCTTTTCATCACTACATTAAGTTGATTAACTGCAATTTATGCACTAAGTTTTAGCGTTGCAAACTTGTGCATGGCGACTTGTCAGAATATTTTTACATTTTTTTTTTGGACAAATTGAATCTGAAACTATTTTAATTAATGTCAGAAATAACTTTGAATTCTCCACTAGGCTTATTGTGCACACTTTTTCTTACTTTATTTCTAGAGAGACAAAGGGAACCCTTCCTACTTATATTAGTGGAAACTTTTTTTTTTCCTTTTTTAACTTCGAACAAAGTATATGATTTATTCTTGTATTCCTAAAAATAGGAGTCAGGTTACCTATTTTTTAAAATCTTTTGTTTAGCAAGAAAGATACAAATCAACAGACAGGCATAAGAAATATTACAATGTAAAAAATCGATGTTTATTAAAAAAGAATCTGTTTTTACCATCCTGGTAATATCTGGCATGTTCAAACACTTTGTAAAAAACTGAAAACTGGTGCATCGATACACACCATCAATCACACAGTTTTCTCCTTTGATGAGGAGAACATTTGCGGGAACTTGCAACTAGACATAACAAAATCCCTCCATTTGGTCACGAAACAAATGAAACTTGTGCAACAGAGACATATTTTGGTAGCTTTTCTTTGGAAATAATACAATGTACTATATATAACTCGAAAGAAATATCACACGGAATACCATATGTGCTTTGAATCATTTGACAAAGACATTATCACTTTTGAAACTGAATCAAAAGGCACTTTCTTTTGTTTCTTCTTAAAAACTAAAACCTCTCAGTTTACACAGTTGTAGGACTGCGCATGCACCATAGTCTAGCATGCACCATATTCTAGCATGCATCATGTCCACTTTTTTTTTCTTTACTCAAAAACAGCATTTTGGTTCACTTCCAAAACAGGACAAAATTACATTTACAAAATTTGCTCTCTTGTGTGGTGATTAAATGAGAAATAGTGCTTTGCACTGAATGGCATTGCCAGATGTGGTAAAATATTGGACAAGTAATGGAAAACAATGGGGGTTGCTAGACAGGGTGTTTGGGCTTGTGAACCCCCCTGCTCAATCAAATGGTCATAATGCACAGCGTATGGTGTCCAGCTTCATCTACCTTGAACAGCGCCCCCTGCACTTGTCCATTCGATGTCCATTCCCCCTTCCAATTTTCAAATCTCAAAAAGTTGATTAATTTCAGAAAGAAAAAAAAAAAGGTTTCTGGCTATAAAAGTCACTGTCTATAGCTGTCTGCCAACGACTTGGTGATCATACACCTCATTGGCCTCTGGATTTCAGGATGAAAACGACTCAGCGGCTCATTCAGCTCCAGTTGACGACGTTGGAGGTTCATCACCCCCCTCGCCCCCTCCGGCAGACGCAGGCTTCAAGCCCCTGATGGAGATATCGTACACAACCTCCTCCACTTTCTTGATGTCATACTTCAGTCCATCGAAACGCTTCCTCAGCGAGTCGTTCTTGAGGTTGAGGAGACGGAAACCAGTGTTCAGCTCCTGGATGAAGTTGGAGATGCGGACGGGTCGGTCGTACTCACCCGCGGTCACACTGTTGATGGCAAGTCGGGACTGGAAGAGCAATTTTGTAAAACAGTTTGGTTTAAAATTTCAAACATACATTAGAGGACAACGTTTATTTTTTAAAAACAGAGTGAATTTGATCCCTTGAACTAATGTTTATTATCATGGGATTTCAATTTTCCATCCCCGTTTAGGTTTCCTGGTATGCTGGCATCCACTCACGTGTTTTTATTGTAAAGAGCTCTTTTTAATTGTGTCTCTTTCTAGGTTCCTTGTTCTAACAATCTGGTGTTTTTATTTGTTGGATGACAACCTTGTAATTTTTGATAGTCTGTAAATATAGTCTCTGTCATTGTGTTAATATCTTATAGTACCTTTTGTTTTTTACATCAAATTTTATTTATTTTGCATTCGTATATATATCTGTGGTCTTATTGTACATGTACATGTATAATGCACACTGGAAATCAATTTTCATGTTTTTTACGTGACAAATATAATACATTGAATTGAATTGAATTGAATTGAAAGCCCAACCAACACAATTTTAACTTGCTATGAACACTCTCCTCTAAAGTTCCTAGCATTCAGGAGTACTCCCAAATGTTAAAACAAATTGAAAGGCTTAAAAACATGCTTCAAACAAGCTCCTTAAAGTTGTTATTCTAGAACCATGTCTGGATTAGTGGTTCCTTCATGAAAAAAAGCTGAAATTGCCCCTACCAGTTCACTGGCTAACTGAAGTAAGCCTTGCAGAAAGTCTTCAAGATCCAGATGAAAACCATCCTCTTTCCTCACTGAAACTGTGGACAGATGAAATGTGCTCTCAGAATACTTTGTTATAGTTTATTAGTTCGTCAAAATATCAATGTCTGTAAAGAAAATAAATGTCTTGAGTCTGCACAGAAGGACTATGGGCATATTAGTCAAATTATTCACTAGTTTGCCCACACCGGCTTCATTAGACTTGGAGACCCGACCTGACTTGAAGACAGGCATTGATTAACTCCCTAGCATGATTTACTAGGAGCCATACCCATCCTGGCAAATGTCCACACCATAATGGGAAACTGCACACACATACTTCTGACTTTGTTTCTGGAGATGTGCCAACCCAATGAAAAAGACGGTCAGTTTAGGGGTACTGTACCCATCCTGACAGATTCCAACAAAACATGCCGTTGGGGTTTGATGGGTTGAGTTCTGTTAGGGTTAATCCCTTAAAAGTCTGATAGGCTTCATGAGTTACATGTGCACTTAAGTGCATGCACGAACATTATGATACCTGCATGTATGCATTGTATACATACATAACATGTAAATATTCAAAAGCACAACTGACTTGAATCCGTGTGAAGTTGAAAAATAGTTGAAGATAAAATCCAAGATGGAGGCAGTGATGGGACTATTAGTATTACAGTCCATACATATCTGACTTGAATTTTTCAATAAAATAAATAAATTGTAACGCTTATGTAGCACTTTCCATGATTTTGAAAGTTTCCGTCATCAAAAACATTTGGAAATACACAAACCCTTTGCCTGATATTTTAAAGCAGAACAAGGAGTATCGAGCGAGTGTCCCTCAAGAAATCTCCGGAAGCAAACACAGAGATGAAGCTCACGTTTTAAAATCTCGGAACCTTGCCAGTTCTACAGCAATGAATCAGTATCAAATCATCACATTTATTTTCCTCTTCATGACAGAAATGAAAAAAAAAGTATCATGTTACTGCAAGCTTTTTTCTTTAATCCAAGGCAAGGCATTGCCACCCAGTGGTACCCAGAGGTACCTATAGGCACCCAGTGGTACCCAGAGGTACCTATTGGCACCCAGTGGTACCCAGAGGTACCTTTAGGCACCCAGTGGTACCCAGAGGTACCTATAGGCACCCAGTGGTACCCAGAGGTACCTATAGGCACCCAGTGGTACCCAGGGGCGCCCAGTGGTACTCACCTCCCATTAAGTGTGCCACCTCTTCCCTGGTAACCAGCCTCTCTGCCTCCAGGTACACAATGAGAGCTGCCAGGAAGGACAGGCGCTGACTGACAAAGCGCCAGTGATCGTGAAATCTGAAATCATAGTTGGAACACAAGAGAATGCAATCTCTGCATTATTTTTCTGTAAAATATCCCAGCTCAGATCCACTAAGAGTCAGGTAAGCGCAGTGGTTACCTCCTCGCCTTCCACCTCTATGGCCCGGGTTCAATTCCTGACCTGGTCCACAGGTGGATTGGGTTTTCAGTCCATACCTGATTCCGTGGGTTCCCCCAGAATATTCTTCTAGGGGTTTCTTCCCACTTCTACAACTATAATTTCTTCTCATTTGCCTCCTCTCTACATATTTCTTCAGGCTTACAAGCTACAGTGCCTAGGGCACTTTTGAGGAATCCTTGGTTTCATTACCAGAAATAAAAAAATAAAGAATAATAAAATAAGTATAAATGGTTTTTACAAAGTGCTACACATGCCAAAAGCACCTGTAATACTGATCAGCTGGCACTTTCTTCTGGAGTTCAGCAAATTGGCTCCGCGTTGTCTCCAGTAACTTTCTTGCCTTTTGACACAGGGCAGGGGCTACAAAACAGAATGGAGCTTGTCACTGAGTCTGGCTGCGTTATATTTGGAATGTTAATACATAAGGCGTCTCACAAGTGAAAATTCATTAAAACCAGGATGGTATGAACACGCCACATATTATGCCAACAATGACAATCATGAAAGAATATTTTGGGCCCCCAAAAAATGTGTTTACAGTAACACCCTTACAGTAAAAATTATTCAGGTAGGTAGGTAGAAAAGTAATTTTATTTTGTAACTCTTTTTGTCCGAACATTGGTTTTTTTTTACATTTACTTTGTTTAATTTAGGATACCTTATTCTGAGAATGAACCTGCTCAGTTGTTTCATTAAGAGAAACTGAAATGTATTCTTCATTAAAATTATGGAACTTAACAAAAAAGAGAATTTAACAGAATTTGACTGGCCAATGCAATACATGAACTACATAGTTGAGTTCCCATACATCCACACATCACTGCCTGCGGTCACCTTTTTTATAAGTGCTTGGTATGGCGTTTTGATAGAAAAGATGTCATGTACAGAGTTTCTATGCACCTCACACTTTATTCTTTCAAAGTCAAGAAGCAGATTTCAGTATCTGTGGGGTTTGGGACCCATCTTTGGATGTAAGGGTACTACCACTTCTGCAGTTCCCAAATGTTGGGGGAGGGGAGGTTTAAAATCTACTCTTTCAAGGTAGCAACCTTTGGGGAAGGGCAGGGGGGGTTGGGGAACGACAAAATCCAATGTTTACTTAGGTTGATTGCAGGGATGTAGTCAAGTCCATCACAAGTCCCTGCAAGTCCATCACAAGTCCTCCAGTCCTAATTCAACTCGCACGCTATTCAAATCAGCTTTGACAAAGGCATTCCTTTGTCATTGTTCATCCACTGTTACTTTTGACTGGACTTGTGGCAGACTTGTGATAGACTGGACTAGCTAACATCCCTGGTGGAATATTCACATTTCAATGCCTAACAGGGCCTGTAAAAGCCTGTATGAGTATATGTTGAATTTTCCAAGTCTGCTACAACACCCTAATTCTAAATGAAATTTGCAACTTTTAGCGACAACGTTTCTTACCCTCTTTGAGTCCTGCCGACTGGTGTATGCCCTCCAGCGTGGTCATGACTTCTCTGGCCGTCTGCTCCATCGCACGCACCGCAACGCGAATCTCCTGCAAGAAATCAAAAGCATCTGGCTGAAAATTTGCAGAATGTTTAAGGTTTGAAGCAAAAAGAAAGAAATTTGATTAGATTTTAGGTGCTCAGTCTGAGCTTTTCACAACATATGGCTTACATCACATACTCAACTCCAGAAATTTGTGACAGCAATAAAAAAAATATTGGTTGAACTAATCATCCAATTTTATTAGCTCAATGCCATTTGTACAAATTATGGGGGGCTGTGGTCCATTGGGGGCTGCGGTCCAATGGTTACGGTGTTCGACTTGGTATGTGTTCGACTGTGCCGTGGTATGCGGGTTCGAATCCTGACTGGGAACATGGTCCTTGTGCTCTTGAGCAAGGCACTTTACCATTATTGCTTCGTCCTTGGGATAAGACGTAAAGCTGTAGGTCCCGTGTGTTGTGTAATGCACGTTAACACGCCGGTGTTTCTGGCAAGTGCGTTTATCCTCATACATATGAGGCTGCACTTTTAAGGAAAGAAGGAAGGGATTCCTCTCTTACTTGGATTCAATGCTTTCACAATCTCAAAAAAAGGCTTAATTTAAAACTTTTTTGATATTGAGACTATGGAAATATACTTTAAAAAAAAGCCAGAATGCCATACTACTACAGTTTATTTAAAACTTTGCACCAGGCCTATTTCTTTCAATCAAACACAGATGAAATCGCACTGACCTTGTTTTCACTAATTTTCTGAAAGGTTTAACTGACAAATTAAAGGGAATGTACAACATTTGCTTTTGCTGCGATTTTCAGAAATAAATGGATTTGGAGGATTAGTATGTTATATAAAATATTGTTAAACTGACTAGTGTTTCATGTTTTGGGCTTGTAGATGCTGGAAAAACCAAGAAAACCTATCATGTTCTTGTAGTCTGATCCCTGCCCCCACTTAAGATGAAACAAAGCAATTAATACACGAGGGAATTGTAAGGTCAGAGAATCAGTCTAGCAGGCTTGTACCCCTTCACAGGTGTGTGATCAATTGCAAAGAAAAGTCAGAACTCAGAATAACTTAATATGAAAAATTATGAACAGAGTTTGAAAAAAGCCAGTTTTCTCCAACGCTGGTCGGCCGACCAGCGTTGGAAAAATACAGTTTTTCTTGAAAATGTCAGCCCACCAGGAGCCACGATTTTAAAGGATGCTTTAGACTGTCAGTCCCTAACAATTCAGTGAGGTATTTCGTGATAATTTGATCATTTCATTTTTTGATGTTTGCAAATGTTGTATTTTCCCTTTAATGCCCAAAAAAGTGCCATTAAAAAAACTCAGTCACTCAGTGGCTATCTTTACAACAACCGTAACGCGATTTTTAACTGCTATCATTTACGGAACCATCTGGTTATTCAACGTCAGGATCTTTGGCTGTTGGAATTGGACTATCATTCAACCGAATGAATTTGTTTCCCTTTTTAAAAAAACCTTCCAGAGCTATGGATGCAGAAAAGAAAATGAAATCTACTTAAATTATAAAGAACAATTTCATTAAAAACATGTATACCAATCGAGCTACTGACGCATTCTGGTTGGACGCGTGGTAAATGTGATATGTATATTCGCAAAGGTGATTTTGCAATACCAAAACGATAGCAGTTGAAAAACATGTAACGGCTGTAACGATAGCCACTACGACTATGTAAAAAAAAAAAAACAGGCGGTCACGTTAGTCACAACAAGAAAGTTGAAATATGAATCCAGCAAAAGAAGTGAACCCCCCCCCCCTTCCCCAGCTTGGGAGACCCCTGCTCTAAATACTCATTAAAAATTATCGCAAGCTACCCCCGCCCTAGCCCCATAAATGTGGCCTATTTACTGGACTGCCTCCGTAAACATAGGCCACACATCCACATGTACAAAAAACGTGTCGATTTTGCCAAATTTTGATTTTCACATTTAGGCTTACTTTGTAGGGTTTTTTTGCTTTAGAAGCATACTCACCCTCTTTATAGGCTAATCAGGAAGTGCTGCCTTTTTCAGATGTTTATTTTTCGTGAAATTTCCAGATTCATTTTTACACGTTTGCGTATCACAATTTCAACATGAAATTTCACAAAAATTAGACATCTGAAAAAGGCAGCACTTTCTGACTAGCCTATAAAGAGGGTGAGTATGCTTCTAAAGCAAAAAAATCCTACAAACTAAGCCTAAATGTGAAAATCAAAAATTGGCAAAGTCGACACGTTCTTGTACATGTGGATGTGTGGCCTATGTTTACGGAGGCAGTCCAGTAAATAGGCCACATTTATGGGGCTACCCCCGCCCCCGCACCGCCCCCCCCCCCCACCCCGCCCAAAACTTTTTTTCACCAGAGCAAAATTAAGGGGCCTACTTACTTCCCTAACGTCCTGATCATTCGTGAGGTACTCGTTGAATTCAGAGAAGATACTGGCAGTTAGAGATGCTTCGGCCATTTCTAAATGACAAATCCGTAACTCAAAAATTCAAGAAAATACAACTTTACAACGAGCAAAACACTTTCTCAATATCAGCAACAAGTCACTGAACTGTACCCGTTCAACAACACACATCTCACGTGTACTGAAAGTGGTATGGCATCCAACTCAACACCTATTTAAAATGAACGTGCACATGGAAAGATGTTAGAATCAGACTACTACTCGCTGTTTACTATGGCGTGTCAAACGTTGCAATATTCAATATTTTGCAATATATATGTGTGATGTTCAATATGTGTTTGTTATCTTTTACATTTATGTGCGAGTCAATATAAGTGTGCGATGTTTTTCATTATTTGCGCGATGTTTAATATATTTGTGTGATGTTTTACAATATATGTGCAATGTTCAATATATGTGTGCGATGTTTTACATTTATATGCGATTTTCAATTTATATGTGCGATGTTTTTGACGATATATATCAGTATATGTGCGATGTTTTCAATATTATGTTCGATTTTTTGCATTAAATGTTCGATGTTTTTCGATACAATTGTGTGTGTTGTTTTACAATATATTTGCGATATTCTCAAATATGTGAGCAATGTTTCACACATATGTTTGACATTTCGAGCTATTTGTATTCGATGTTTCATCGGTATGTTTGCATTCGATCTTTTGCAATATGCATTTGATATTTCCCTTTTCATTCGATGTTTCTTTAAGAGTCAAAGTCTGGTTACTAAGTCGCGAAAGTCTGACTATTTTGCCTAAAGTCAGTGTATGAGACGTCAGGGGATCGCGTAAAGTGATTAGAGCCAGACCTAAACGGTAAAAACCGGAATTGTGGGTAATTCTTTAAGCATACGCAATGCGTTCATCATTGTTTGGGCAGTACCCCCAGCTGTGCCTCACTACCCATAGTGTTATGTGCATCATCTATGCATTGAGGAGTGCATGACACGTGGTCTGAGCTCCAAGGCCGATGTGCACCTGTCCCGTTTAATGATCCAGTTACCTGATAATTTGTTAGCATTAAAGCTGATGTAAAATTGGGCAAAATTAGATGTTTATGAAAAAAAATCAAATTGTAAGGGGTTAACCTTGCATTTTTTTTTAGCAAAATCGGGAAAAATCAGATGTTTCTGGAAAATTGCAGATTGTATGGGGTTAGATGTTTATGAAACATTTCAAATTGTAAGGGGTGAACGTTGCATATTTTAGCGAAATTGGGCAAAATCAGATGTTTCCGAAAAATTTCAGATGTAAGGGATAAACCTTGCTTTTTTAGTGAAATTTTGCAAAGTTAGATGTTACGAAAAATTTCAAATTGTAAGGGGTTAACCTCGCTTTTTTTTAAAGCGAAAATGGAAACAAAATCAAACGTTTCTGGAAAATTGCAGATTGAAAGGGGTTAACCTTGCTTTTTGAATAAGATTGGGGAAAATTAGATGTTCATAAAAAAAATTCAAATTGTAAGGGGTTAACCTTGCATTTTTTTTGCAAAATAGGACACAATCAGATGATTCTGGAAAATTGCAGATTGTTAGGGCTTAACCTTGTATTTCTAGCAAAATTGGGCAAAAAGAAATGTTTATGAAACATTTTCAATTGTAAGAGGTGTACCTTGTATATTTAGTGAAATTTGGCAAAATCAGATTTGTATGAAAAATCTAAAATGGTAAGGGGTTAACCTTGCTTTTTTAGCAAAATTTGGAGCATATTTTACGCAAAAACAGCTGTTGAAAAAAGCCCAATGTTGAACTTTACTGAGTCTGAGGTCTATCGAGGGGACGATCCTTATTTCAACTCCCGGAGATTCGCTGACAGTCTCTATTTTTCTTTTTAAGAAAGTCGAAATAGCTGAAGAGGGAGGTGAGAATCTATATGTGCCCAGATACAAAGAGTAGAAATCTACGCGCCGTCTGCCTTTTGAAAATACACAATTGCGGTGTTCATTGTTGCGTAATGATCCGCCTAGCACACGACTGTTTTGCACATTAGGCTGTGTTATGCAGCTTCCTAACAAACCAAACATCATTATTATATCGACTTGTTTTTACCCATTAAGGTAAAGCAAATGGACCCAGTAATCTTCCTGGCGCGTTTGCTCACCTATAAGACAACTTTTCTCAGTTTAAGGAAAATTCTAAGGTAACGAAATGGCCGAGTGGTTACGATTCGTCGTCCACGGTTAGCGGGGTCGCGGGTTCGAATCCCGCTGGTGTCTTTTTGGTTTTTAACGTATGAGTTCAATTATTCACTATAAGAGATTTAATTTCCCGTCGTAAAGTACCAACAGTACCTTAGCTTAATCGGTAAGCACTGCTGCTGGTACTGTCCGCGAGTTCCAGGTTGGCGCCTTCGTACAGGTTCAGGGCATGTGGTCCACTCGGAGGATCAGGGCTTAGGGGCCGCCCTGTTCCTCCCTTAGCTCTTTGCTTTTACATGGTGCCTGGCCCTCCGGGGTTATATGGATGGATAGGGAAGGAAGTGTGTATTGGTCGGGGACGCCGAGACCCCGGAAGAGAACTAAGGGATCGGCTGGGGCATTGTTATGGCTCAGACCGATCCCTGAAAGCTTGACTAGCACATAACTTTTTGATTTTTTTTACCCTCTATCTTTTATACTTTGGTTTAGTTTGATATCTACAGCTGCTCGGCAGGTCTACGGGTAGTATCAAAATTGAAACAAAGGTGTATGTCATAAATCAATGAATATTTCATAATTGACTATAATCAAAACGGAGTTTCGTTTGATCAATTTGACTATCATTATATAATGACGCGATTGCCAACTTGACGTAAGAAACGCCATAAATTATACCGGGAAAGAATAAAGATGAACATTGTAATTTAAATATATTTATACATCTTTCAAATAACGTGTCTTTAATTGTGAGCATTCCAAACAATACAGTAATTCGCAATAGTAATAGAATGGTATATGATAGAACGATCAATGCGTCTCTATTAAATTTTAAAAATATATAATTTAGGCCCCTATGTGTGAAATATTCTTTGATTGACTATGAGCATTCCATACGAATGAGTTAATTCGCAAAATATAGCAACAACAAAAGAGAAAGGAAAAAGAAAAAATTCCTTTACCCTTAAAAACTGGAAAAATAATTTGTTTTAAAAAAGTCAAATGGGACACTTCATGTATTGATTTAACAGTTTGCAAGGGGTTAACCTTACATTTTAGCAAAATTGGGAAAAATCAGATGTTTCTGGAAAATTGCAGCTTGTAAGGGGTTAACCTTGCATTTTTAGTAAAATTTAGATGTTTATGAAACATTTCAAATTGTAAGGGTTGAACCTTGCATTTTTTAGCGAAATTGGGCAAAATCAGAACTTTCTGGAAAATTTCAGATTGTAAGGGGTTAACCTTGCTTTTGTAGTAAAATTTGGCAAAATAAGATTTGTATGAAAAATTTCAAATTGTAAGGGGTTAACCTTTCTTTTTTAGTAAAATTTGGCAAAATAAGATGTGTATGAAAAATTTCAAATTGTCAGTGGTTAGCCTTGCATTTTTTAGCAAAATAGGGCAAAATCAGGTGTTTATGGAAAATTTCAGATTGTAAGGGGTTTACTTTGCATTTTTAGCAAAGTTGGGCAAAATCAGATTGGTATGAACAATCAAAAATTGTAAGGGGTTTACCTTGCCAAATTAAGGCAAAATCAGATGTTTCTGGAAAATTGCAGATTGAAAGGGGTTAACCTTGCTTTTTTAAGCGAAATTGGGAAAAATCAGATGTTTCTTGAAAATTGAAGATTGTCAGGGGTTAACTTGGCATTTTTAGCATAACTGGGCAATATCAGATTTATATGAAAAATCTCAAATTGTAAGTGGTGAACCTTGTATTTTTAGCGAAACTGGGCAAAATCAGATCTTTCTGGACAATTGTGAGGGGTTAACCTTGCTTTTTTAGTGATATTTGGCAAAATAAGATGTGAATGAAAAATTTAAGGGGGTTAACCTTGCTTTTTGTAGTAAAATTGGGCAAATTTAAATGTTTATGAAAAATCTCAAAATGAACCTTGCATTTTTTAGCAAAATAGGGCAAAATCAGGTGTTTATGAAAAATGTTAGATTGTAAGGGGTTAACCTTGCATTTTTAGCAAAATTGGGCAAAATCAGATGTTTCTGAAAAATTTCAGATGTAAGGGGGTTAACCTTGCTTTTTTAGCAAAATTGTGAAAATTTGTATGAAAAATCAAAAATTGTAAGGGGTTTACCTTTGCCAAATTAGGGCACTAAAAAAGCAAGGTTAACCCCCTTACATCTGAAATTTTCAGATGTAGGGGGTTAACCTTGCTTTTTTAGTAAAATTGGGCAAATTTTAATGTGCATGAAAAATTTGAAATTGTTAGGGGTTAACCTTGCATTTTTTAGCAAAACAGGGCAAAACCAGGTGTTCATGAAAAATTTCAGATTGTAAAGGGTTCACCCTGCATTTTTAACAAAATTGGGAAAAATCAGATTTGTATGAAAAATCAAAAATTGTAAGGGGTTAACCTTTGCCAAATTAGGGCAAAAAAAGATGTTTCTGGAAAATTGCAGATTGAAAGGGGTTAACCTTGCATTTTAAGCAAAATTGGGCAAAATGAGATTTTTATGAAAAATCTCAAATTGTAAGGGGTGAACCTTGCATATATTAGCAAAATTTGGCAAAATCAGATGTTTTTGAAAAAAAATCCGATGTAAGGAATTAACCTTACTTTAGTGAAATTTGGTAAAATTTGGTGTCTATGAACAAATTCAAATTGTAAAGAGTTAAGATTGCATATTTTTGAGCAAAATAGGGAAAAATCAGATGTTTATGGAAAATTTCAAATTGTAAGGGGTTAACCTTATATTTTAGCAAAATTGGGCAAATTCAGATGTTTCTGGAAAATTTCAGATGTAAGGGATTATCCTTGCTTTTTTAGTGAAATTTGGCAAAGTTAGATGTTTATGAAAAATCTCAAAGTGTAAGGGGTGAACCTTGTATTTTTAGCGAAATTGGGCAAAATCAGATCTTTCTGGACAATTTCAGATTGTAAGGGGTTAACCTTGCTTTTTTAGTGATATTTGGCAAAATAAGACGTGAATGAAAAATTTCAAATTGTAAGGGGTTAACCTTGCTTTTTTTAGTAAAATTGGGCAAATTTAAATGTTTATGAAAAATCTCAAATTGT